GGCCATATTATGGGAGAAGGAAGGAAGGAAAGGAAGGAAGGAAGGAAGGAAGGAAGGAAGGAAGGAAGGAAGGGAGGGAGGGAGGGAGGGGAGGGAGGAGGGAGGGAGGGAGGGAAGGAAGGAATTTCTATGTATTGAAACAGGCCTGTGTTACTTGTAATTAGATGTGTTAGGTTGAGCGGGGTGTTAAGGGGACTGTCTGGAGGCACCAAGTTCCCTAGAGGCCTAGATACAAATAAAGACACACAAACACACACACACACACACAGACATTCAGGGTTGAAACAGGCAGTGTTCTCCTATGGGATGGCTGCTCCCCACTGTCTGTATATTAATTACCTTAAACTCCAAGAGGAACCAGGCCCCTGGCACACAGCTACTGTGTACCCTGCTCACAAACATATCACCAACAAGAAATGAATAGACGAATACACACACAGTCCCTCCTAAGCACGGTAACAGACATGCGCTCACGCATGCACGCAGGTGCGCAAACAATGCAACCCAATATTGTGACCTGTAATAAGTACACTACATACACAAAAGTATGTAGACACCCCTTCAAATTAGTGGATTCAGCTATTTCAGCCACACCCGTTGCTGACAGGTGTATCAAATCGAGCACCCAGCCATTCAATCTCCATAGACAAACACTGGCAGTAGAATGGCCTTACTAAAGAGCTCAGTGACTTTCAACGTGGCACCGTCATAGGATGCCACCTTTCCAACAAGTCAGTTGGTCAAATTTCTGCCCTGCTAGAGATGCCCCGGTCAACTTTAAGTGCTGTTATTGTGAAGTGGAAACGTCTAGGAGCAACAACGGCTCAGCCGCGAAGTGGTAGGCCACACAAACTCACAGAACAAGACCACTGAGTGCTGAAGCGCATACTAATTTGTCTGTCCTTGGTTGCAACACTCACTACCGAGTTCCAAACTGCCTCTGGAAGCAATGTCAGCACAAGAACTGTTCGTCGGGAGCTTCATTAAATGGGTTTCTGTGGCCGAGCAGCCACACACAAGCCTAAGATCACCATGCGCAATGCCAAACGTCAGCTGGAGTGGTGTAAAGCTCGCGCCAACCTGTCACTTCTTGGTCAAAAGCATTTGAACTTTTATGTTTATTGTGGTATAGCGTGATATAAGCAGAATTCCATATAATTCCAATGCAAGAACCCAAATGATGTCCCTGGGTATAGCTACATATCGGTATGTTTCATCAGAAATAGATACATTCTATTATGGTTTTCTTGGTAGCCTATTGGTTTTCGTGGATGTAAATGGACTGTAAGTATTGAATAAGTGTTTATGGTAGGCTGGCATTGCTTAATTGATTGCGTGGGTCGAATTTGATTCACAGAAGTGTAGTGTTTCATATCACAAGGTGTTGCTGAACTCATGAGCAGCGTGATTTTCCATGTTTGAAGTGGCCTATAGGCCTATTTACTTGGCAAGTCAGCTGTGCATGGCTGCATCTCACTGTAGTAGGCTGTAGGCCAGCGGTATTCAACTCTTACCGTACGAGGTCCAGAGCCTGCTGGTTTTCTTTTCTACCTGGTAATTAATTGCACCCACCTGGTGTCCCAGGTCTAAATCATACCATGATTAGAGGGGAACAATGAAAAATGCAGTGGAACTGGCTTTGAGGTCCTGAGTTGAGTTTGAGGGCTGTAGGCTGTTTTGGTTATTTGGATCTCCATTTGCTTTTAGTTTAATGCGTTTGTTTACTGTTGATGTAACTAACCTAAATGTAGATTGTGTCATGCCTTTATCGATCTGATATTTTGTTTACTAGGTCTACTAGCCTACCTGGTACCGTGTTCTGTTCGCATTCATTCGTTCCATTCACAGTTGTGTCAGTATTCTAAGCCAAACTGCTATTCAGTATTTTTGTTTCAGCATTTAGTTAGCATTATTTTGGTAAGACAGCTGTGTATGGCTGCATTCACATAAGGCTGTTTGTAATAGTTGAATTACCTTATCTATCTTATAGCCTATATTCATTACCAAAACGGCCTTGCTTTAGTGTGTAGGGCGCTGTCCATTGTGCTGATACAGTGCAGCGGATTGGCTGAAATCTGTAGCCTACCTGTCACTTCAAAAGCACTCAATGATCTCGGAGTCTAGGTATAACGTGATATAAGTAGAATTCAATATAATTCCAATGCAAGAACCCCCCAAAATTGTGCCCCCTTGCGATTTCAACTGGGCCCTTAGTCACCTTTTCCTGGCTGCGGGTCTGACATTCTGATCTGTTCCATCAGCCGTATTAATTGACACGGTGTATACCTCCACTACATTACTTTGATACGCATCGTGGAGATTAAGGAGTGTATATGCAATGCCCAATGAAAAATACGTGGGTATTTGCTACGGCGTATACATGCGTATCCCCTCCACTACACCACTTCCTATGGCTTCAGCTCTCGAAGTGCTCGCTGTCTTCAACCAAATATCAAGTCAAGATTCTAAGAACACTCACCAGCAATGTGATGAAAATTCCTCACTGCAATCTTCCAATGCGCTGTTGGAGTTCCTGGAATTTGTCAAAATACACGGTTTATTGGCTAGGAAATGGCTTTACTATAACCAATGACACCAACAACAAAAAATGTCAGGCCATAATTTAGCAAGCTAACCCAGCAAATTTGGAAATAATTCTGCATCCATCCACGTCTTTTGCTCCAACAGCGGTACTGCAAGTCAACGCATCGAGCGTCGGTTCCCTGTCTGCCTGACCACGACTGGCACCAAAAAGAAGACAATTATCTATCCCAAGACCCCTCTGCATCAAGTTCCGTTGACATAGACTTTATGTCCGGCTATTGTAGTCTGAATGCCATTCCACTTATTTGGATGTCTGCCTGCTGTTTCCCCTTTGAGAATAAAGCTGACAGTTTATGTTCCTGTCTCACTCTGCCGTTCAATGACATCCAAAACATCGGTTTGGGGAACATTATCCTTCTATTGGAAAATGACGTAGCAAATTACCAGGTTGTGGTCGTATGCTACATGTTATGTTGCTAAAGCATTGCCAATCCTAATCATACAGTATGTCCGACTTCATATAAATGCATGCCTGTCCAGTCGGCTAGACAGAAAGCGCCCCCCAGTGGCTACACACTAATCGCAGACCTGAACGGTACCTCTACTACGTAACTGTACAAGGTGCTTTATAAAACATGTAGGCTTACACTACAGACTACAAATGTACTAAATCGACAGAGTAGTCATGCACACTGATGGCCAAATGGAATATATTTGAATGAATTGTGTAACAGAAACCATTTATTCTATATAGATGAGGCCTCTGATTGTCATGACAACCCACAGAGACCCAGGTGTTGTAATAATGTAAGCATTATTTATTGTGAGCGAACAACAGTACATTTTAGTTCCAGTGAGGTTCATTTCAAGTAATTGCAAACTGCAACATGGCCAAAGAAAATGAAACAGTGCAACTACTGTGTAAATTCCATGCATTACAATAATTTGTGGAGCAGTGTACTTGTGTGTGTAATATTTCAAATGTGTGCTGGTTTGGTTTTTGCATGAGATCCATAGTATACAGAGAAGAGAGGGGGGTTAGGTACTGGTGAAATCCCTCCCCTCACAACATGGAATTAACACAAAACAAATGGAATGTTCAAAGGAGATTAAAAAAAATATATAAAAATGGAAAAAGGTAAGCAATAAAAAGTTTTCTAAAATACAAGGTTTTTGTAAAAGATCAAGTTATGGTGAAACTGTGAAGAATATAATACTAGCTTGGTCATACAAAATTATTAGAATTGAACATTGTAGGATATAAAGATATATATTTTTAAATGCACCAGGAATAAACATTGTAATGAACACATAAAAATGCAATGTAATAAATACAATTATATGCGGTGTACGATGAATAAAACATTTTAAAACGATGCATAAAAATGTAGACCGAGATGGTAGTGGTACATTCCAGATGGGTAAATGTCTCTGCTGGATATTAGGAGGTTCTCCCATTCATATTCATATTGAAAAATCTACATCATTGACCTGAATATGGCAAGTAAAGCATATCATATTTATATTTTGAAACGTCTAAAAAGGTTAACGACTTTACAAATCTGCGCATTTCAAAAAAATATACTCCACAAATAGTGAGCTCTTCCAAACATATAGAAAAATATCCCTGAGTTATATGTGTAGAAAAGACTCTGTGGGTCATGTACAAGTAAGCTATGATACAGAGAGAGAGTTAAGACAGGACAATCAGGGTTCTGTATCAATCTACAGCACAGAAAACTATAACTAGTTCTATAACTAGGACCAGGAGTTGATATCTATTCATCTATAGCTAGGACCAGGAGTATTTCCTGACCATGCAAACTGACCAGAATAACTCTAGGCCCTACCTATGACGTCATCTAATAAAAACATTGCTATATGTTGGCAGAGGAGCGTAGAACGTGGAACCTCTTCAGGGTCATGCGGATGGAACCCAGGTCACGGTTTACTCTCTCTAGACGGTTCTCTAAGGCCACCTGGGGAGTAGAGGAACAGTCATTTAGCTGGAACAGCAAACATTCACACATACTGTACACAAAGATCTCTGTTTTTAAGTGATATCCCATCTATGTTGTGTTCAATTTAAAACACTATTCAATTGCCATACAAGAGTCTACTTCATCAAACAAACAAACAAACATGTTCATGACAACAAAACTATGAATTTTCAACCCAGTCATGGTTTTCACTGATATGTAATGAGGCCTAGCAGGTTTGGTGACTGTGATTTTACCTCATCTAACCTGGTCTGCAGGCTCACCCTCCCACCAGATCCAGGCATCCGGCTCAACGCTGACTCAATCTGCACAAAACATACACAAATTAATACATTAATAAATAAATATAGAAACTAACCAACGCATCAACACATTTCATAGCACTCAGATGAATCAGATTAACCAGGCAGGCAGGCCGCCCTGCAGAGTGTGTGTGTGTGTGTGTGTGTGTGTGTGTGTGTGTGTGTGTGTGTGTGTGTGTGTGTGTGTGTGTGTGTGTGTTGCGCTGTGCAGACGCAGGAGTGTACGTAAGCTTGCTGAAGGGTAACGGGGTTAGCACCCCTCAATCAAAACAGAGCAGGAGAGGACAGAGCAGAGCAGGACAGGGCAGGGGGATATATGAACCCAGCTATAAATAGAAGTCAATAAGAGTGGAGTGGTTGTAAAACCATAAAGCCAGGTTATATAACAGGCGGAACAGAGATTAGAAGGAATGCCTCCGTCATTGATAGATATACACCATTAATAGAATATGAAGCAGTGCAAAACTAGAATCAACGTTACCCAAACTCAACTCTTAGCTCCTGTCCCTGGGAACTCCCTGTAGACTTCAAAGGGTTTGGATGTATATTTACTATATGGTAATATTGCTCTGGTAGGCCGATAACACTACATTGCTTATTGCCATCCAATCTTTCCAGATCTCCAGGTGTCTAGGGGTAGGGGTTTAGATATGAGTAAAAGGCATGTTTGGTCTTGTGGATATTGTACGTTGCTAGTGAGTGGCCTGTCCCTGTCATAGTGTATCGTGTGTCTATAAGAACCTTTTAACAGTCTGTCTCACCTGTTGTTTCTCCATAGTGAGCTCATCTAACATCCTCTCAGCGTCGGCCAGGGAGTGGAGCCTGGTCTGGAGGTCAGTCCCTGGGTCCTGGAGGTCTGAGCATGACCCCCCAGCCCCTTGCTCTTGCCAGCCCAGCCCAAAGACACCCTCCTGGGGGTCAAAACTGCCTGAGGACTCCACTGAGCCACCAGATGACCGCTGGGGGGCTGCAGGAGAGAGAAAGAGGGTAGTAGTGTTAGGGAACTATTCAACTGAACACACTAACCAGGAGTCAGGGAGGTAAGTCAAAAACAACGTTGTTAATGGTACCTTCTGGGAACAGTCTCTTCCTGGGGCTGGAGTTGTGGAAGGAATGGCGTCTCTGGTCTAACGCCACGTCAAACCTGAAACAGACAATCACAACCCTGAACTCTGAGGCTCAACACATCAAATACTGTAGCTGTAGTTGGAGCGAAAACACACATAATAAACAGTAAGAATATTAACCAAGGGTGCAAAGATTCAGCTAAGGAATGGTCCTGTAATCCGTGGGTACTAAACCCTTACCTGTTGTGTAGCTGTTGTCTTGGTGGTGGGTTGCCGAAGGCAGTGGAGTAGTTCTCTGCAGGACAACGTTTGGGGCTGGACTTAGCTGACAGAGGCATCATTAGGGTCTCCCTCTTAGCTAGAACAAAATAACACTAGATTAGTGAAATCACATAAAACAACGAACTAGCCACCACATACACAATAGTACACTTTAGGTAATAGAGTATTGAGATACACAAGGAAGGGTAAGGGGGATACCTAGTCAGTTGCGCAACTGAATGCATTGAACCGAAATGTTTCTTCCGCATTTAACCCAATCCCGATAAAGGAGTGAAGAGAAAAAAAGACATGACGTACTGGGTGTAGTCGGGGGGAAGGTGGCCCTCTGGGCGCGGGGGGGCAGAGAGGAGGACCTGTGGCCTTCTGGAGACAAACTTCTCTGGGCTCTCAGCAGAGACACACCCCTGACTGTCCCGGACATTCCTGTCTCTAGGCCAGCCACACGCCTTCCAGGAGAAGCCACACCCTCCATAGCCGTGTCCCGGTCCTGTGTTTGAGGTTCTCTGTGGTTTCTCTCTATGAAGCCAACAGTAGGCCTCCGGCTGCCCAACCCTGCAACACAGACAGATACATAGAGACAAACGAGAGAAATGAGAGAAAAACACTCCCACAAACACATCCATTCAGTGAACCACATTGAAAGACACACGAACGGTCAAAAGACTTCAGAGTAGAGAATCAAACACGTTGTTTCAACTTAGAGCTGCTAAGTTTCTTAGAACTGCCAAGATCATGTCTGTTTGCAAATCACTACATTTTCACGAGACAGAAAATCTTAAAATGCTGGTGTCAGACTAAATGAAAAACACATATATATCCAAACGGCTGAGGTCAGGGGAAATACAACCTCCCTGGTAAAAGCTAGCGTTAGCAGAAACTGTAAGACTGGAGCCAATTAATAAGTCATGCTGAAGGCCAGTGTTCCAGCCCAGCACTAAGGATTGAGTGGAGAGTGACATGAGTTAGTAAGTGAGTGGAAGGCCTACTGTGAGATGAGGACTGTGTTTTACAGGAGGCCAGTGAAAGTGAGTCAGTGGTACTGTGGCTGGTCTTACAGGGGGCCCGGCCCTCAGTGGTCCTGGTCTCCTCAAGCTCTATCAGGGACCTCATCAGTGGGGTCAGAGGCCCCCGAGCCTCCTTCACACCCCCACCCTGGTTCTGGGGCTGCTCACGCTCTGGAAGGGACGAACACCTACAGGACAAAACAGGAAAAGGGTGAATTCAACTGGTCAGCTTTTGAATCATGCTTAAATCAAGGGGGAAAGGGATTAAGAGGAGGTATTCCAAAGTTAACACTGCAACCACACCTCCTGCTGCCAGTGTGGTCTGTAATGTGGCCCGAGTTGCCTGATTGGTCAGTTTGAGGACAGGGAGTCTTCCTGTAGCTGCCCAATTGGTCAGTCTGAGGGCAAGGAGCCATCCTATAACTCTGCGATTGGTCAGTTTGAGGACGAGGAGACTTCTTGGTGCTGTGTGATTGGTCAGTTTGAGGACAGGGAGAATTCCTGGTGCTGTGTGATTGGTCTGTTTGAGGGCAAGGAGACATCCTATATGTGGATTCTGGTTGCCGAGGATGTTTGCTGGGGGACAGCAGCAGGTCCGGATGGTGGTACAGACTGGAGAGGGATAACAGTAAAAACAGCTACTGTCAGACAGACAGACGGGAGAGGGTTAACAACAGTAACAACAGCTACTGTCAGACAGACAGACAGGAGAGGGTTAACAACAGTAACAACAGCTACTGTCAGACAGACAGACTGGAGAGGGTTAACAACAGTAACAACAGCTACTGTCAGACCTGCTTTGGGACCTAATGGAAGCACAACATGGATGCATGAGTTGAGGAGACCTTACCCGGCTCCAGAGGGCTGTGTGTGGTTGTGGGCGTCCTGGCGATTCCTGGCCTGGTTCACATAATCCAGTTGATTCACCTGGCTCTCCATCTTACAGATCACCCTGAGGAGGAGAGGGTCACAGACAGACAGATAGAGAGAAGACTGTTACAGGTCACCCTGAGGAGGAGAGGGTCACAGACAGACAGATAGAGAGAAGACTGTTACAGGTCACCCTGAGGAGGAGAGGGTCACAGACAGACAGATAGAGAGAAGACTGTTACAGGTCACCCTGAGGAGGAGAGGGTCACAGACGCACAGATAGAGAGAAGACTGTTACAGGTCACCCTGAGGAGGAGAGGGTCACAGACAGATAGATAGAGGGAAGACTGCTACAGGTCACCCTGAGGAGGAGAGGGTCACAGACAGATAGATAGAGGGAAGACTGTTACAGGTCACCCTGAGGAGGAGAGGGTCACAGACAGATAGATAGAGGGAAGGCTGTTACAGGTCACCCTGAGGAGGAGAGGGTCACAGACGCACAGATAGAGAGAAGACTGTTACAGGTCACCCTGAGGAGGAGAGGGTCACAGACGCACAGATAGAGGGAAGAATGTTACAGGTCACCCTGAGGAGGAGAGGGTCACAGACAGACGGGGAAGACTTACAGGTCACCCTGAGGAGGAGAGGGTCACAGACAGACAGATAGAGGGAAGACTGTTACAGATCACCCTGAGGAGGAGAGGGTCACAGACAGACAGATAGAGAGAAGACTGTTACAGGTCACCCTGAGGAGGAGAGGGTCACAGACAGATAGATAGAGGGAAGACTGTTACAGGTCACCCTGAGGAGGAGAGGGTCACAGACGCACAGATAGAGAGAAGACTGTTACAGGTCACCCTGAGGAGGAGAGGGTCACAGACGCACAGATAGAGAGAAGACTGTTACAGGTCACCCTGAGGAGGAGAGGGTCACAGACGCACAGATAGAGGGAAGAATGTTACAGGTCACCCTGAGGAGGAGAGGGTCACAGACAGACGGGGAAGACTTACAGGTCACCCTGAGGAGGAGAGGGTCACAGACAGACAGATAGAGGGAAGACTGTTACAGATCACCCTGAGGAGGAGAGGGTCACAGACAGACGGGGAAGACTGTTACAGGTCACCCTGAGGAGGAGAGGGTCACAGACGGATAGATAGAGGGAAGACTGTTACAGGTCACCCTGAGGAGGAGAGGGTCACAGACAGACAGATAGAGGGAAGACTGTTACAGATCACCCTGAGGAGGAGAGGGTCACAGACAGATAGATAGAGGGAAGACTGTTACAGGTCACCCTGAGGAGGAGAGGGTCACAGACAGATAGATAGAGGGAAGGCTGTTACAGGTCACCCTGAGGAGGAGAGGGTCACAGACAGATAGATAGAGGGAAGGCTGTTACAGGTCACCCTGAGGAGGAGGGGGTCACAGACAGACAGAAGAGGGAAGACTGTTACATATCACCCTGAGGAGGAGAGGGTCACAGACAGATAGATAGAGGGAAGGCTGTTACAGGTCACCTGAGGGGGGAGAGGGTCACAGACAGATAGATAGAGGGAAGACTGTTACAGGTCACCCTGAGGAGGAGAGGGTCACAGACAGATAGATAGAGGGGAAGACTGCTACGGGGTCACCCTGAGGAGGAGAGGGTTTCACAGACAGTTTAGATAGAGGGAGGATTTTTTTACAGGTCACCCTGAGGAGGAGAGGGTCACGGGACGGGACGGGGAAAGACTGTTCCCCAGGTCACCCTAAGGAGGAGGAGGGTCACAGACAGGACAGATAGAGGGGAAGACTGTTACAGGCCCCCTGGGGAAAGGAGAGGGTCACAGACAGAGGGGGAAAGAAGACTGTTACAGGTCCCCTAAGGAGGAGAGGGTCACAGACAGACAGATAGAGGGAAGACTGTTACAGGTCACCTGAGGAGGGAGAGGGTCACAGACAGACAGATAGATAGAGAAGGAAGAGGTGTTACAGGTCACCCTGAGGGGGGAGAGGGTCACAGACAGACAGATAGAGGGAAGACTGTTCAGGTCACCCTGAGGAGGAGAGGGTCACAGACAGATAGATAGAGGGAAGACGGGTTAAGGTCACCTGAGGAGGAGAGGGTCACAGACAGACAGATAGAGGGAAGACTGTTACAGGTCACCCTGAGGAGGAGGGGAGAGGGTCACGGGACAGATAGATAGAGGGAAGACTGTTAAGGTCACCCTGAGGAGGAGAGGGTCACAGACAGATAGATAGAGGGAAGGCTTTTACAGGTCACCCTGAGGAGGAGAGGGTCACAGACAGACGGGGGGACTGTTAAGGTCACCCTGAGGAGGAGAGGGGTAACAGAGGATAGATAGAGGGAAGACTGTTTACAGGTCACCCCGGAGGAGGAGAGGGTCACAGACAGGACAGATAGGGGAAGATGTTACAGGTCACCATGAGGAGGAGAGGGTCACAGACAGATAGATAGAGGGAAGGATGTTACAGGTCACCCTGAGGAGGAGAGGGTCACAGACAGATAGATAGAGGGAAGGCTGTTACAGGTCACCCTGAGGAGGAGAGGTCACAGACAGACAGATAGAGGGAAGACTGTTACAGATCACCCTGAGGAGGAGAGGGTCACAGACAGATAGATAGAGGGAAGACTGTTACAGGTCACCCTGAGGAGGAGAGGGTCACAGACAGATAGATAGAGGGGAAGGCTGTTACAGGTCACCCTGAGGAGGAGAGGGTCACAGACAGATAGATAGAGGGAAGCTGTTACAGGTCACCCTGAGGAGGAGAGGGTCCAGACAGGATACGATAGAGGGAAGATGCTTACAGGTCACCCTGAGGAGGAGGGGTCACAGACAGATCGTATAGAGGGAAGACTGTTACAGGTCACCCCTGAGGAGGAGAGGGTCACAGACAGATAGATAGAGGGAAGACTGTTACAGGTCACCCTGAGGAGGAGAGGGTCACAGAAGACAGATCGAGGGAAGACTGTTACAGGTCACCCTAAGGAGGAGAGGGTCACAGACAGACAGATAGAGGGAAGACTGTTACAGGTCACCCTGAGGAGGAGAGGGTCACAGACAGACGGGGAAGACTGTTACAGGTCACCCTAAGGAGGAGAGGGTCACAGACAGACAGATAGAGGGAAGACTGTTACAGGTCACCCTGAGGAGGAGAGGGTCACAGACAGATAGATAGAGGGAAGACTGTTACAGGTCACCCTGAGGAGGAGAGGGTCACAGACAGATAGATAGAGGGAAGGCTGTTACAGGTCACCCTGAGGAGGAGAGGGTCACAGACAGACAGGGAAGAGTGTGTAGGTGATAGGATAGACATCTTATATCTCTCCACCGGTGCTGGCCCAAAGAAAATGACAATAAAGAAAGAAAAGCCGGCACACGATACATGCAGGTCTGGTCTATTCTTTGGTTGCCAAAATAGACAGTCACCAAGAGAAGAACTAGCTCTTAGCCATAGAGGATCCTTCTTTATGTCACTCTGGTAACTCAACAACTGATGTCAGATATGGACAAATTCCACAACTCTGTCATGATTCATCTAGCTTATCTATCCTGTAGATGTTGGCTTTCATAGACAAGAAAAAGAAGGTATCCCTGCAGGTCTTGGTGTTGGATGCTTGATGTTACCTTTTTAGTTCAGAGATCTGCTCGTTGGCATCAAACAGCTTGTTCTCTGTTGACACCAGGTTGTCCTGTTGACAGAGAAAAAAGGTTCAAATATTAGTACCAGTAGAACGTGTCACCTGTTCTTCTCGAGGTGGAATAACACAGAAACAAACAATAGACTATCCTTAAGCAATAAGGCCCGAGGAGGTGTGGTATATGGCCATATACCACAAACCCTGAGGTGCCTTACTGCAATTATAAAACTGGTTACCAACGTAATTAGAGCAGTACAAATAAATGTTTTGTCATACCCATGGTATACGGTCTGATATACCACCGCTTTCAGCCAATCAGCATTCAGGGCTCGAACCACCCAGTTTATAATAATAGAATAGATCATTGATCAGTTACCTTCACCCCCTCGTGGTCTTTCCTCAGAGAGTCATACTCCCCCAGAAGCTGAGGAGGCAAAAACACACACACACACACACACACACACACACACACACACACACACACACACACACACACACACACACACACACACACACACACACACACACACACACACACACACACACACACACACACACACACACACACACACACACACACACACACACACACGAGTGTGTCTATTAAACCCTTGAGCTACAGCCAAATAGCCTATTACAAGGCCCCCTGCACACATCAGCAGGTAATAAATAAGCTGCTCAGATAAAAGACTGGCTGTTATAGTAAACACAGAGGTACAGTTCTCCAGGAGATCTCTCAAACTACCAACACCTAGAAAGGAGTCTTTCCCAGAGGGGCAGAGACCAGAGATTTGGTTGGTTTACTTGACTAGTCTAGTATAAGTTCAGAACTCACGTCCTGCAGCATCTTGTACTCCCTCTCCCTCCTGGCCTCCTTCTCTTCTGTTTCTCTGCAGGCGTTCTCCAAGGCCTCCTCTAGCTGCCGGACCCGGGTCCTGAGGCGGCCGGCCGAGGTGTCCTTCTCCCTGCCTGACCGCCTGCTTTCGTCCAATCGCTGCTGCAGGGACGTTGCCGTGGAGCAGGCTGTGTTGTAACGCTCCGGCCAGTCAGTCTGTCAGAGACAGTAGAGCTTGTTACACACACAGACACACACACAGACACACACCTCTAGGGGTAGAAACGGTATCTTACCATTTGTTTCTCCAGGATGGAGTTCTTGTTCTCCAGCTCCTGGATACGGCTGCTGGCTTCAGACAGAGCTCTCTCTAGCTGAGCACACCTGGTAATACAACAACCACAGGTTAGATCACACACACACATAACCCTAACCTTAAACCCTAACCCCAATTCTAACCCTAAAGCCAACCCCTAAGCCTAAAGTAGCCTTTGTCCTCAAGGGAGACCTGGGAAATGTCCCCACGAGGGAGAATTTTCCTTGTTTTACTATCCATGTGGGGGACTTTTGGGGACTTCCAGTGCCCACGGGGATAGTAATACACACACACACACACACACACAACACACACACACACCTCTGTCTGAGTGTGTGGTTGCTCTGCTCTAGGTCGTGAGGCAGGTCTCTCAGGTCCAGTTTGTCTCGGAGGACTTTGATCTCTGCCTCGTAGTAAGCCTTCAGATCAGCTACATGACGAGAGTGTTTCTCCCTCAGCTTCTCTCTCAGCCTGGAGAAAGAGAGGAGGATAGGAAGAAGGGAAAAGAGGAGGATGATTGGGAAGAGAGTGAATGGTAGGAGGCGAAAGAAGGAAATGACTAGTGTTCAGTATGCATCAGTTACATGGGTTATTCTACAGCTAGTGCTCAGTATGCATCAGTTACATGGGTTATTCTAATGCTAGTGCTCAGTTACATGGGTTATTCTACAGCTAGTGCTCAGTATGCATCAGTTACATGGGTTATTCTACTGCTAGTGCTCAGTATGCATCAGTTACATGGGTTATTCTACTGCTAGTGCTCAGTATGCATCAGTTACATGGGTTATTCTACTGCTAGTGCTCAGTATGCATCAGTTACATGGGTTATTCTACTGCTAGTGCTCAGTATGCATCAGTTACATGGGTTATTCTACTGCTAGTGCTCAGTTACATGGGTTATTCTACTGCTAGTGCTCAGTATGCATCAGTTACATGGATTATTCTACTGATAGTGCTCAGTATGCATCAGTTACATGGGTTATTCTACTGCTAGTGCTCAGTTACATGGGTTATTCTACAGCTAGTGCTCAGTATGCATCAGTTACATGGGTTATTCTACTGCTAGTGCTCAGTATGCATCAGTTACATGGGTTATTCTACTGCTAGTGCTCAGTATGCATCAGTTACATGGGTTATTCTACTGCTAGTGCTCAAGTATGCATCAGTTACATGGGTTATTCTACTGCTAGTTGCTCAGTATGCATCAGTTACATGGGTTATTCTACTGCTAGTGCTCAGTTACATGGGTTATTCTACTGCTAGTGCTCAGTATGCATCAGTTACATGGATTATTCTACTGATAGTGCTCAGTATGCATCAGTTACATGGGTTATTCTACTGCTAGTGCTCAGTATGCATCAGTTACATGGGTTATTCTACTGCTAGTGCTCAGTATGCATCAGTTACATGGGTTATTCTACTGCTAGTGCTCAGTATGCATCAGTTACATGGGTTATTCTACTGCTAGTGCTCAGTATGCATCAGTTACATGGATTATTCTACTGCTAGTGCTCAGTATGCATCAGTTACATGGGTTATTCTACTGCTAGTGCTCAGTATGCATCAGTTACATGGGTTATTCTACTGCTAGTGCTCAGTATGCATCAGTACATGGGTTATTCTACTGCTAGTGCTCAGTATGCATCAGTTACATGGGTTATTCTACCGCTAGTGCTCAGTATGTATCAGTTACATGGGTTATTCTACTGCTAGTGCTCAGTATGCATCAGTTACATGGGTTATTCTACTGCTAGTGCTCAGTATGCATCAATTACATGGGTTATTCTACTGCTAGTGCTCAGTATGCATCAGTTACATGGGTTATTCTACTGCTAGTGCTCAGTATGTATCAGTTACATGGGTTATTCTACCGCTAGTGCTCAGTATGTATCAGTTACATGGGTTATTCTACTGCTAGTGCTCAGTATGTATCAGTTACATGGGTTATTCTACTGCTAGTGCTCAGTATGTATCAGTTACATGGGTTATTCTACTGCTAGTTCCTCTGGTATATGGCCTCAGTAATATTAGCGTGGCTCAATATAGAAAAACATAGCCAGCTTCTGGCCACTCACAGAGAGACGACCACAGGGTCTTCCAGCGACGCCGCTTTCTCCATATGAGGGCTGCCCTGGGAGAGTGTGTGTGAGTGCGTCTGCCTCCCAGACACAGCCAGTTGCTTCAGGGTGCTGGTGTGTGTGTGGCTCCCCTCCTCCTCGCTGGCCTGATTGGCCAAGGCCTTGCGCTGCTGGCTGCTGGGGAGCACCAGGGGCTTGGAGGTAGAGAGGGTAGACGGGGCCGGTTTTATCCGAGCAGAGGCCACCCTGGCTGGAGTAAGTGCGGCGGCAGAGAGGCTGGAGGTGTTGGAGGTGCAGTCTGTGTCCCCGGGGTTGGCACTGCCCTCGGCCATGCTGTCTGGGCTGACGGGGGTACAGGGGGTGCCAACGCGGGGGTAGAGGTGCGGCTGGGTGGGGTAGGACGGGCTGCTGAAGTGGGAGGGCGAGGTGAAGCCGGAGGTCCGGTCTGACTGACGGAGGTGAACGGTGGGATCTAGAGTTAACACCTTAAACAGAGAAAGGAGCAGAGAGAAGGGATCGAGCTAGTGTGTGTGTGTGTGTGTGTGTGTGTGTGTGGTGTGTGTGTGGTGTGTGTGTGTGTGTGTGTGTGTGTGTGTGTGACATGTGTGGGACGTTGGGCTGCAGGTGATGGGCCTGAACCACACCTCTGGAGAGTCTGAGGGGGTGGAGACGCACTGTCGAACACAACCATTGGAGAGTCTGAGGGGAGATGGGACGACGTAGAACAACACAAACTTGGGAGGTTGAAGAGGAAGTGGAGCGACATGTAGAACACCCCACACACTCTGGAGAGGTTAAGAGGAAGGTGGAGCAGACACTGCGAAAACCACTTGGAGGGTCTTGGAGGAGGAGATGGAGACAGACACTGTCGACAGACACACCATCGGAGAGGTCTGAAGGGGAAGATGGAGACAGACCTGTCGAACAAACACCACCTGGAGGGTCTGAAGGGAAGGAGATGGAGACAGCACTGTAGAAACACAACACATTGGAGAGGTTGAAGGAGGAGATGGAGCAGACACTGTCGACAACACGACACTTGGGACTGAGGCTGAGGAGGAGATGGAGAAAGGACCGTAGAACAAACCACACTCTGAGAGGCTGAAGGAAAGATGGAGACAGACACTTTGAAGGAGGAAGATGGAGACAGACACTGTCAGAAACAACACCACACACTCTGGGAGGTCTGAAGGAGGAAGATGGAGACAGACACTGTCAGAACAACAACACACACACTCTGGAGAGGTTGAAGGAGGAGATGGAGACAGACACTGTCAGAACAACACCACACATCTGGAGAGGTCTGAAGGAGGGAAGATGGAGACAGACACTGTCAGAACAAACACCACACACTCTGGAGAGGTCTGAAGGAGGAAGATGGAGACAGACACTGTCAGAACAACACCACACACTCTGGAGAGGTCTGAAGGAGGAAGATGGAGACAGACACTGTCAGAACAACAACACACACTCTGGAGAGGTCTGAAGGAGGAAGATGGAGACAGACACTGTCAGAACAACACCACACACTCTGGAGAGGTCTGAAGGAGGAAGATGGAGACAGACACTGTCAGAACAACACCACACACTCTGGAGAGGTCTGAAGGAGGAAGATGGAGACAGACACTGTCAGAACAACACCACACACTCTGGAGAGGTCTGAAGGAGGAAGATGGAGACAGACACTGTCAGAACAACACCACACACTCTGGAGAGGTCTGAAGGAGGAAGATGGAGACAGACACTGTCAGAACACAACCACACACTCTGGAGAGGTCTGAAGGAGGAAGATGGAGACAGACACTGTCAGAACAACAACACACACTCTGGAGAGGTCTGAAGGAGGAAGATGGAGACAGACACTGTCAGAACAACACCACACACTCTGGAGAGGTCTGAAGGAGGAAGATGGAGACAGACACTGTCAGAACAACACCACACCACTCTGGAGAGGTCTGAAGGAGGAAGATGGAGACAGACACTGTCAGAACAACACCACACACTCTGGAGAGGTCTGAAGGAGGAAGATGGAGACAGACACTGTCAGAACAACACACACAACTCTGGAGAGGTCTGAAGGAGGAAGATGGAGACAGACACTGTCAGAACAACAACACACACACTCTGGAGAGGTTGAAGGAGGAAGATGGAGACAGACACTGTCAGAACAACACACACACTCTGGAGAGGTCTGAAGGAGGAAGATGGAGACAGACACTGTCAGAACAACACACACACTCTGGAGAGGTCTGAAGGAGGAAAAGATGGAGACAGACACTGTCAGAACAACAACACACACTCTGGAGAGGTCTGAAGGGAGCGAAGATGGAGCGAGACACTGTCAGAACAACAACACACTTGGAGAGGGTCTGAAGGAGGAAGGTGGAGACAGACACTGTCAGAACAACAACACACACTCTGGAGAGGTCTGAAGGAGGAAGATGGAGACAGACACTGTCAGAACAACAACACACACTCTGGAGAGGTCTGAAGGAGGAAGATGGAGACAGACACTGTCAGAACAACACCACACACTCTGGAGAGGTCTGAAGGAGGAAGATGGAGACAGACACTGTCAGAACAACACCACACACTCTGGAGAGGTCTGAAGGAGGAAGATGGAGACAGACACTGTCAGAACAACAACACACACTCTGGAGAGGTCTGAAGGAGGAAGATGGAGACAGACACTGTCAGAACAACACCACACACTCTGGAGAGGTCTGAAGGAGGAAGATGGAGACAGACACTGTCAGAACAACACCACACACTCTGGAGAGGTCTGAAGGAAGAAGATGGAGACAGACACTGTCAGAACAACAACACACACTCTGGAGAGGTCTGGGAGACACAGAGACACACTCAACAACTAATACAATGGAGGGAGATTATTATTTGCAATTTACTTTTTATTTACTTGGGATTGAGGTCTGGAAATGTCTCCTCATATTGTGGGATTCCCCTAATGCAAATGATGAAGAGACTAACTTTTTCAGCACAATGAAAACAAACACTGTATTTAGGTGGAACAAGTTTGGATTGTCCTTTTGTCATTCACCTACCAGACTGATAGAGGCCTCCTGCAGCAGGAGGTAGGCTCCACTGTCAAAGCTGTTAGGTAGAGGCCGGTAGAGCTCACTCTCATCCAGACGCCAGTATGTCAGACCTGAAGGACAAGCAGCTACGTCTTACTACATTATAACAGCCTCAGTACTATACCGCTTTAGAACTACATTACTACAAGCACTTAGCATTATAGCGTTTCAGAACTGCTGTTGCAGCAAAGGCAACAGTGTGATTCAATAAGGTGACAAAAGCAAGTATGTAGGCCACTGTTTAACACTAGAACCGCTGGGCCTCGAGGGACCACGTTTCATGCTAAAGAGCAGTCATTCTGACTGCAACATTCTAACAGTGTAATTAATACATTTCATATATGCTATCTGTAAAATAATCATTTGGTTGTGTTCATGAAGGTGTTAGGTAACATTAGAATCATATTTTATTCATTTTAAATAACAAAATAGCATTTTAATTTGTTTACCGTAGGCTATATGTAAAAAAAGGAATTAATTAATAAAACACCAACATTCTACTTGGCGTGCCTTTGTTACAACTATTAAAACAGAAACCATGTGTTGGAACAGCTTATTTGAATAAGAATAAAAAGAGCTGTGTGTTTGTTATGTTGTTACCTGAGGCCTCAGACATGAGGCTGTCACTCCTCCTCAGAGGGAAGGAGTTGGTGGAGGGAGCAGCCCACCCATGCTGAAAACAGAGAGAGATGAAACGAAGAGAGGAGAGAGAGGAGAGAATGAAACCCAAAGCTTACTCAAATCCTTAATCTTATCCTTTTCTAAATGCTTCCCCACATGGAATCCTGTTTATACTGACTGTGACCCATATAAAGCAGGGCAGACACAGTGTATGGGGCCATTTCAGTGCCAACAGAAATTATATTTTAATTCTATAATTTTTTATTTGTAATGCACAAATTGAATCATTGAATTCAGAAATTGAACTTCTATTTCATGATTTTAAACTTAATTGATTGAATATTGCATTCAGTTTTAAAATGCAATTTCTATTTCATTAAATATTCAAGTTCAATATTTATAGAATCAATTTCAATATGGTAGATATTGCGTTCATTGTAGTTTATAAACAATCATCTCAAAGTTTATCAAAGTTTCATATAGTTAACTTCTCATATGCATTCAGATTCAGTTTTCAAATTCAGTTTTCTAAATTCAGACTCAAAACCAGAGACAACATCCTGGTACTTTCCCAGCCAGGAAAGGTAGAGGAGAACAGATAGAATCAAATACTCACTGGCGGTTCCTGAAGCCAATGTGGCATGTTTAATTTATTTTCTTCCAATGAATTTGGCTCTAGCATTTGAACCATTTTGGCTATGAAGCGTTATAACCCACCGCGCTATTGAAAAAGGCCTTCAGGCTGATGAATGAGTTTCACAGATCCCCCATCTGCTACATTCACCTCCCGAACTCACACAGTGGTTGAACCAGCGCATTATTTTTTTTTTATACCCTTATTTTACCAGGTAAGTTGTCTGAGAACACATTCTCATTTACAACAACGACCTGGGGAATAGTTACAGGGGAGAGGAGGGGGGATGAATGAGCCAATTGGAGTCCAGTGACAGCATTGTAAAGGACGGCATGCGGCCTGCTTAGCGAGTACCGCTTCCCCCTGATTCAGCTCATACGGAGACACACGTTATCACCCTCCTGAAGCATTTCAACCCATCGTGCTATTAAAAAAGGCCTTCAATTGCGCAAGGGGCGACACTTCAGGCTGAGGAGTGAGTTTCACTGATCCCCATCTGCTACACTAATACAAGTCTTCAAGATCCAGCAAGGTTACTGGCGTGGTTTGGTGAGCCATGCTTATGTGATGAGAACCTTGCCTGAGACCTGGAGATGTGTTAGGTTGAGGTGTTATTTTGTGTTAGACATAGTCTAATTTCAAGCAGGGGCGGATTGGCCATCTGGCATTTCGGGCAAATGCCAGATGGGCTGGTCCATTTTTAGCCCAGTGGGCCTGTTTAACTTTTTGCGCAAAATTATCATTCTTTGGCTAATAATGGAGGCCTTAAGGAAAATAATGGGCCCAATGTGGGGGCCTGGAGGAAAAGAATAGGCCGGTGTGGGGACCTTAAGGAAAGGATTGGCCAGTGTGCTAGAAATGCCAGGGCCGATTTTTGGTCCCAGTCCACCCCTGGTTTCAAGTCTCCGGCAAGGGTAGTCATTATACAAGGGTAGTCATTATACAAGGGTAGTCATTATACGGTTAACATTAAGACTGTGTTAGCCTGTTGAGCTAAAGCCTAGGCATTGGTCCTGTGACTTGGATGGGTCTCTTCAAGGAGGAGTTCAAAGGGGGGTGAAGTGTAACACAGGTGGTTCGGTGGCCACGCTTGTGTGATGAGTAACTTGTCTGAGACCTGAAAAGTTGCATTGTCTGGCGCACAGGAGACCTGGGTTAGAACCCCATCAGTCAAACTAACACATTTTCATGCTCATCACATAGCCTCGCGAGCAGGCTGATCTCGCAAGCTTACATGAATGGTTCTCTACACGCAGTAATAGGTCTGGTAACAAGGCTACTACTCACATGGATGGATCACCAAACCACCTCTGTTGCACTCTCATGAAATGGGGTGCACAGATCCTTCTGCTTCTGTTTGCCCACTGAAAGTGTTGTTGTTGTGCAGGAGGCCTGACTTAGAACCCAGTCAGTTATATTGGTGCCGTGATCTCTGAGTATGAGGTCAAAGGGAGGTGAAATGTAACCCAGGTGGTTCGTTGAACCTTGCTGGAGACTTAAACACTTGTGTTAGATTCCTGAACTAATCCCTATGGGCTTTATCTAAGTGGGCTAACACAGTCTTGTGACATGCAGGAGACCTGGTTCGAACCCAGTCAGTCACAAGAGCAAGATTAAATAGAGAGCGGAAAGGCTATCCTTAGAAGGGCTATGACAGGGCTATTCAACTGTATTCTTATGGGGGCCAAATTATTTTTGTGACACTCCCTTCTAAAGTGGCCTGTGATCATCATAGAGGAGAACAGAAAGCACATCCATGTTCCAGAGAGTCTTAGCTTTCAGGAATGGGGTCATAATATTTCAAACGCTAGAGCCAAATTCATAGGAAGAAAATAAATTAAACATGCCACATTGGCTTCAGAATCCGGCAGAAGCTTCTGTTTAGCACAGAGAGTGTTTGATTCTATCTGTTCTCTTCTACCTTTCCTGGCTGGCAAAGTACCAGGATGTTGTCTCTGGTTTTGAATCTGAATTTAGAGAACTGAATTTGAAAACTGAATCTGAATGCATGAGAAGTTGAATATATGAAACTTTGATTAACTTGAAATGATGGTTTGTAAACTTGATACACAGACATTGAATGCAATATCTACTATATTGAAACTGAATATAAAAATATTAAATTACCTTTGAAAACTGAATGCAATATTCATTCAATTCCGTTTCAAATCATGAAATACAAGTTCAATTTATGAATTCAATGATTCAATTTGTGCATTAAACATTCAAAAATATTACATTCAAATTCAATATCCTAATACAAATTCAAAATTATGAAATTCAAATACAATTTCTGTTGGCACTGAAATCGCTCCATAACAGTGACACACACAGACAAAATACATGGTGGTATAACAAAATGCCAGAGCACTATACTGACTCTAGTAATCCAAAGAGTTTTACATCATTTTATCCAGCTACTATAAATTCAAATGGAACAGGCAGGTTTGTGTTGTCTGGTGCTAGGCGTACCTGGTTCTGGAGGTCAGTGTTGTCCAGGGGGCTGTCTCTGGGGCTCTTCCTGGGGCTGGGCTGCTGCTCCTGGGGGGAAGAGGTCTGAGGGCCGGTCTGGCCCAGGGACGGGGCCAGGAGGGGTGAGGGGGAGGCCTGGGGAGGTTGGGCCTGCCCTGCCCTGCTCTTCTTGGGTTTGCTGCGTCTCTGTCTTTGAGCCCAGGAGGTCAGCAACTGGCTGGAGGTTCTCTGCTGCTCAGGTGGTGGACTAGGATTGGCTCTAGGAGCCACCTCATTGGCTGAGGCGCTCCTCTGCTGACCCTCCTGGCCAATCAGAGTGGTCTCTGTGTTGTCCTGGAGGTGAAGGGACCAGCTAGGCTCCTCTCCCACCCGGCCTGTCTCCTCTGCTCCACCCGGAGTCCCTGTCCCTTCCAGCCCTGAGCCCCAGGCCGACAGGGCCCCGTACCCACTGCATAGCACCGTCCCTGCCCCCTCAGCACACATCTCTCCTGGGGTGACCGGCCCTGGCCGAGGGGTTAGGGGTAGAGGGGAGGTGGCGCTCAAAATGGGTTGGGGGACAAAGAGGGAGGTGGGGGGAGCAGAGAGGGGAGAGTTCCCATTGGGAAGGTCCGTGGGGGTTGAGGGATGGTTTGGGTTGGGAGTGGGAGGTGAAGGGTAGTCCTTGGTAGTAACAACAGGGGAAGAGGTGTAGTCTGGGTGTGTCTGTGTGACAGTAGACAGAGTAGATGGGTAATCGTGGTGCGTCTGTGTGTTAGTGGTAGCAGTAGGGGTATATGGGTAATCGTGATGTGTCTGTGTGTTAGTGGTAGCAGTAGGGGTATATGGGTAATCGTGGTGCGTCTGTGTGCTGGTCTGGCGGTTCTGGAGCTGAACCAAGGCTTTGATCTCATCCTGAATCAGCTGGAGGAGGAAAACAATCACAGTGTAAACAGGCATCATTACATGCATCATCAGGGATTCTAGAACAGGCCAAGTATAGTTCAGAGCTTTATTTGGCACTGGTCACACACAGTAGTATAGTAGTACAGACCTGTATTTGGCACTGGTACTGTTCTTGCTGAGCCAGGATCTGCTCTTGGTATTGTTTCTCTACTAGCTGAAACAGATGCAGCCATCGGCCCTGTTCAACAAACACACGTACACATCTTCAACATTAGGTCTGTAAACCATAACACAATACATAGCATTGGAAGCCTTTGGAAATATTTGTTATTGGAGGTATGGGTGTCCAGTGTGAATTTGAATATGGCAAATAGTCAAATGTTATGATTGGAGGGTAGAATAGTGACAGCTGTGAGTTAGGCTCGCAGCAGGGGTCTGTGTGTGTGGGGGAGGTGCACCCGGAAGCAGCTGTGCTCCAGTTACGGCGTGAGAAAGGGGAAAACGTTGTACTATGCCATGCACTCAGGGAGGGGGGTATGCACCTGATATTACAGCCCATAAAAAATGATCAGATTCCCTTTTTGAGACTCTGCTGTTATTCATAAGCAGTAAAAAAACAAATATTTCAGGGTACAATAACAGACCTGGGCTGCATCTCAATAGTCTAAACTAGACAAGTGAAATCTAGCCTGTGTTTTTTAGATCAGGAAAGATGAACAACAGGAGACAAGGGCAGGAGGTCATTAAGACAATTGAGAAAGATCCCTGTATTCAAAGCTGGGGAATACACTACTATCTATCTCCCCAGTGTGTTTTCCTCTGTGTGTGAGATGAGATGGCACTGCTGCATCACAGTTGCCTGTTCCCCACAAATCATCTCCCGTGTCTGAAGAGATCAGCTGCAGTGGTGTGATGTGTGCAGTCTGGGGACCAATTGTGTGTATGTATCTTTGTGTGCTGTCAGCTGAGATCCACAGGGACAGCAGAAGCGACAGCGGAGAGAAGAGGCTGCCAGGAGAATAATGACCATGCCAGCTAAACCCCAACCTTTACGGGGAGAAGTTCCAAGAACACACACTTCTCTGAAAAACAAACTACCATGGACATTTCTCTATCAATTGCTGTATTACTACTTGGCAGTCCTTCCACACTAAATACAAGGTATCCTATATATCCGTGTCTGTCTGTGTTGTCCATCTATTTTGCAGTTACACACCAACACTGACAAACAGACACACTCCTACCTCACAGTCCTTCCACATTTCCGGGTCAGTCTCCCCACTACTCTGGATCTCCTGGACCAGGGCCCTGAGGGTCTCCAGGGAAGAGGGGTTGATGAAGGGGAGACACTTCCCAGACCCAAAGGCCTCCTCCGTACTCAGACACAGACTCCTGAGGAACACAACACACAGGAGTTAGGACAAGGGCCTAGGTTGGATTGTACTCTATGAAGCCCACTTTCCATACCTCCTACACTGACACCTCCAGTCAGAGAGCACAGTCTCTCTCCACACACCTGATCTTGTGGGGGAGGCTGCATACTGGGGTGATGTCATCAGCTCTCCCATCCACGGCTCCCCCTGCAGTCTTGGAGGTGGCATTGCATTCCTCTGGCCTGGCTAGCCCCAACCCAAGCCCCAGCCCCAGGCCTGAGGCTGCTGAGGTGCCCTCTGAGGACTCACTCTCCTTGGCCCCTCCCCCGTTGGCATCGGCATGGCAGTGGCTCAGGCTGGACACATCCTCAGAGATACTGTCATCTGTGGACATGCTTATGGGCCGACGACCTGGGGAAGAGTCTGATACCTACAGGGGAGACAGAGGGGGTCAATGAATGGGTGGGTGGAAGGAGGGAGACAGCTCCCCCTCAACCTAAAGGGAGATAGAGGGGGAGGGTCTAATACCTGCGGGAGATAGAGGAGAAAGGTCTGAAGTTACGTATGACAAACTTTTATTTCAGGGTGAACTGTCCCTTTAAACTCCATACAGACAGTGACCAGGGCTGTGACGTGAGATGAAAACTTTCAATTTCACTGGGGCAGTTTAATTCAAAGAATAACTTGCATACCCAGATTAGAGAAGCCTTGCGAGATATAGCTGAAATGGGCATTAACCACCATTAAACAGATGAGATCATCAAGCTGTCATCGCCTCCATTAAATATTAAATAGCTCACAGGGAAGGAAGCTTGCATGTATGGCATCATGTCACAACAACTGACAGTGTAACATAACCTCCACAGTCAACACGACCAGCTGCTTTGATTTCATATTGTTCTCTCCTTGATAAGGGAATACACCCCGTTACGTAGTTATCTAGCTAAATATACCTGGATCTCGTAGCTAGTACCCTTTTGCTTGCTAATACAGTATTAATCTATTGATTGCCTGGCCATTTGCCAGTTGGTTGCTGGCTGGATCTTACTGGCTAGCTAGCTAATCATCCTAGCCTAACTGACAGGTTTGCATCAACGTTTACGGGTAGCTAGCTAACGAAACATCTTGAAAATTATTGAAACTAGCACCCTTAGTTATGCGCGCAATAAGCACATACTCGATTCATAGTTCATGCGTAAAGTAGGTGAATTGGATGTTGAATAAAGCTACAATTAACTTACCAGTTAACTTGTAACGTAACTTCACCCATATTTCCTCTCAACAATACTAGCCAACTAGCCTACTGCATCTCCTGTAGTTTTTACTTGGGCTAGCAGTGCTGCAGCACAACGTTCAACCGCAAAACATTACGCAATGTCCAATTGCCCGAATGGAATAGAAAACGAGTTATCTGATTGGCTGTCTCTCTTATTCAAGCCTTATGATTGGCTATGATGCACAATGGCAGTACACAACAATGGGCATGATTGGCAGAACTTGTAGGAAGTGATATTCGCTGCAAGGGTAGAAGTCCAATGAAACGCGCAAGGATACAAAATTGTTAACGTTACAAATGTGCTATTGCTACTGTTACATTGTTATCTGCGATTCTAACATTGATAGTTACTTCTACTGAATGTGACTTGGCGTGGCTAGTTATATCCCGTATTCATGGTAAATACTAGTCTCTCTCAGACCCTGTTCAAGTTTCAAATTCATTAATTATCCTGGACTACATCATGTATTGCTGTTCACAACTGGTCAGTTGAATCAGTGCTTGTTGCCTAAATCTTGCTGGGTTATGCAATGTCCAAGGAATGAATCACTGTAGATGAGCCTAAATCAATGGTTCTGCTGTACTGCTTGCTATTGTCCAGATACCTCCATCCTACAATATATCCTTCCATTCAACCAAGACAAGTTTTGACTTTACGACTGCCTGCTTACCATCTCAATTCCTTCCTTATGAGGAAAATAGATATAGGAGACCACTTGGGTTGTTCACATATTATTTTCCAAACAATTACTTTTGTATTGAAAATACATTTTATTACACAAGTAATAAATACATACAAAGATGCAAGTAACAGCATTTATTATTAATCCCAAAAAAGAACCTCAACATGAATGAACCAATGTATTTGGCACTTTTCTGTCCTTCACTTGTTCAACAATTAAGGGTCTGGAATTCAGACCAATAGCTATCAAAAAGAGTTTCTCTCCTAGTCTAATCCAGTACATGCCATGCAATGTCTACAATTAACCAAAGGCCATGGTGGACCCATAGGTTTGCATGCAAAAATTACTATTCATTTTAAATATGAAGTCAGGAAACTGTGACCCAAAATGGGGCATGAAGAAAAAACAAATCATTTGAATTCTGAATTATATTCTAGTGTCCCCTTTCTCACATTTCAACCTTCCAGAAACATTTGTGACTTTTTCAACCATCCCTTATTTTGTTTTCCATTCCTCTTTTTAGAGGATGTGCCATGCAGTTGTCTTTTACATGGTGAGTGAGAGTGTGGGTTCTTCTACAGGAGAGGGTAGTGCTTCTGTAGTTAGGACCTGGCGTTTCTCTCAGTCTCTGCCAAGCACTCCCGCACCAGTCCCCTGGCATGGATGATACCTTTGGGGAAAAGTAGGATACACCAAAATGAACAACTGTCATTCACAGACTGAATGACAACTCTCTAACCAAGTTAGAGAGTTAGGAAGAAGACTATTGTGTAGTCTAGATAATGCAGTTTGCATTACCACACAATAGAGGTATTGTATTACTACAGAAGTTTCCACATTACCTCGTTTTATTCTCTCCATGGCGCTCTTGCTGCCGGCGTAGGTGGGCCGGATCTCCTTCCCCAGCTCCTCGATGATGGCCAGCAGCTCTGAATACTTACTCTGGGGCACCTGGCTGCTGCTGGATCCCTGACCACACAGGGACAGGATAGGAATAAGGCACTTACCAAAAGAGTTACTTACAATGTAACGACGCATTTCTATTAACATGTCAATTTTATTTTCTGCATTGTAGAATTAGCAGAAGCAATTTGAGTGTCTGTACCTGTGTAAAGCCCAAGGAGGGTGGTGCGTAAACATCGTTCACCAGCGGCCTGTAGGACTGCAACGTGGCCAAGTTGGCTGCTGACGGAGACTGGATGTTTCCAACTGTTGGGAGACAAATACAAAACAAATCTAGGGTCAAATATGATATTACCGTTCACCAGATAGTATAAAACACTGAAAAAAATAAATTGGTACAAATTCTACATATTGCATGTTCACATTGCCAACAATGCCCACAGTTGTAGTGAGCATGTATTTTCTAATGCAATAAGGGTTGTTAAACACTAGATGTCCTCGAAGGTTCATAAAGGAATACCCTGGCAGCTCAATCAACAGCTCCGCAAGAGACCATCATGGAGGAAGCGGAACAGGGCTGACTAAAGAAGCCAAAGTGATACATTTTTGTCACAACGTAACGACACCCTCCAGGATGGCATCCGACACAGAACGATGGGGATTATTTTTCGGAACATATGGAATTTCACACCTCTGCCCTTGTTTATAGCCAATGAAGATGAGGCTTTTTTACATTAGTAATAATGGCGGATATGAATTAGCCTAGCTCCCAGGATCTGACCCTATATATAACTGGACAAAAACTACAGACGCGGTCTTTCTCCAGGTATTCTCCGAAACACCGAATTTTTAACACTCGATTTAACGGATGGATGGTTGGATTTTAACCGATATTGTTCTCTTACCCTGGTTCCCGGAAGTTCCTGGAATGTGCTGGTGGACATTGGGTTTGTAAGACATTCCCAGAGACATTGTAAATTAAAGAAATAAAATGACCCGAAAATCTAATTCAGTGAAGCGCCTGTCTCTCACTTTTTGTTTACAGCAACGGCACCCGGCAAATATGGCCGTCACTTTATATTGACACCCACAATGCATTCTATCACCATAGACAATCCCGGATAGCATTGACCATAGTCAATTCGTGATAATCTGACCGAAAATGCTTCAAACGCGATTTACACAACTTTCAGTACATTAGAAAAGCAAAAATACTTCTAGCTATTATATTTAAATGACATGTTATAACTAATTCACGTAGGATTTTTTTTTTTTTAATAGAAAATAATTTTTAAATTGTCTGGCTGCACAGAACACATCTGCACAGAAAATAAATAGAATTCGCCTATAAAAGCTCCTATAACGTGTGATCCTAGTGTGGGTTAAGTCTATAGACCCATCCAGTTACACTGTTGGTCAGATGGTGATGACTCGTGCAACAGTATTGCTTTTGTTCGGCCCACTTTGTAGTAGACCACCATAGCAGAGCCGGAAAAATAAAACAGTCAGTTTAAGATTACCTGTCTTTGTCTGGGGATTTGGAGAAGCATCCATTGTTGCCTCAATTGGCCACTTTCCCCTCCCAAAATGTCCCTCTTATCTAAATATTAACCGCAAAGATCAAACAAAATCTTATCTACTACAAGACACGTGCACCGGAGGCCCCTCTTCTAAAGATTCTCCCGTCTTCTCTCCAAAACTGTGATTGGGCCCGTGCAGATACGATGTAACCCCTCTCCAATTTATGGTAGAGGACGCGGTCAGTCTCTTGACCATTGGTGGACAAGGCAGCGGCCACGTTCTACTGCCCAATCATAGCTTTCAGCGTCATTACCCCATGGAAGTTGTGGGATGGGACTGACCCCAACTGATGGCCTAAGATCTAACACAAAGTAGTGGGGACCTGTTATGATTGGTGATGATTACAGAGTACAGCACATCATATAAGAAACAGTTTGACAATTAAGTATACAAAAACAAAACAAGGAGTGAGGAAAAGGTATTGAGGAATGATATCAAAACAGTGATAAACAGAATTCAAACTTTATCCTCGGGATTTATTGATCATTAAGGAGGTAGAAATCTTACTCATTTAATACAGATTTGTTGTACAACAAGTCAGTAAAAATATGAAATTACACCGTCCTTCAAGTGTTAACAAACGGCTATTTAAGCAAAAAACTGGTTTCTTATGTCCAGACATGACACAATACACCTTGGTATAGCAAAGTAGCATCCTAAACTCAGGGTTTTTACATCATTTAATCTTCTGCCCCTATCCATCCCATCTCAAGTGACAGAAAACTGAAAAACAGATATAAAAACTACCAGAGTTCAAGCAGCAATGTTGCAGACTGGTGGAGATTGGGTTCCAGTTCAGAATCCAGAACCCTTGAGTCACATGTCAAACTCATTCCAAATTTTCACTCCCTTGTACTTGATTAATGAATTAAGGTCACTAATTAGTAAGGAACTCCCCTCACCTGGTTTGAGTTTGACACCCCTGTTTTAGATATCCATGAAGTACATAGGGCAGGGGTGTCAAACTCATTCCATGGAGGGCCTAGTGTCTGCTGGTTTTTCGTTTAAATTAAGACCTAGACAACCAGGTGAGGGGTTGTCCTTACTAATTAACTAATCAATCAAGTACAAGGGAGGAGAGAAAACCCACAGACACTCGGCCCTCCGTGGGATGAGTTTGACATGTGATCTAAAGGATCAGATAGATATGAGCAAATATGCTAATTGATTCCACCTTTGCCTCCAAGGTAGAATCTTCACCACATTGGATACACCTAGCCAATCCTTTCAGATTTACACACACCTACATGAGGTAAAAAGAAAGGGATCAGTTTTGAATTCAGCAATAAACTATCTTGAATACTAGCTTTTAATGTAGCGTTTTTAGACAGCTTGTATTGACAAACAAGATCTGTCCTTTCACGTGTAGTTCTATAATACCACTCCAGGAGTGTATCTACTGAAGTTTGATAGTACAAGATAAGAATCTGATGCCACATATCAAACAACCCGTTCCGAACATCTTTTGAATGCAGAGGAATAAATGCAGGAAAATAAACAGGTATTTTAAACCATGCACGGTCACAATTCTTGATAGTCAAGCTGTAAACAATTCTGTAGGTAGAAAGAATACACCCATGTTTGATACACTTGTCTGTCTGAAAGAAACAAGGATTGCGTCGGAAATTACACCCTATTCCCTAGATGGTGAATAACATAAAAGTAGTGCACTACCTATGCAATAGGGTGTCATTTTAGATGTAACTATGGTGAGAGTAGTCATCATGCCCCAGACTTGACAGAGTAAAATCTAAAATGAAGAAAGAAAGTTGGTGTGTGGTCATGCATCTCAGGTAGACATTTTGTAAAACATCTGTTTTTAAAAAATTGTCACTGTGTAGCTTAACGAACCCCTGAGCACTGTCCTGTCACCTGTAGAAAACAAAAACCTAGGTGACGTCCCCCAGCCTTCAGTAGAGAAGGCAGTGGTAGGAACGTCACTAACAGAAAGCACAAGCCATCATTTACATAGGAGGAGTGGGGAGGGGTATAGGAGGTAACAGAAAAACAGTCTCAGGCATTTTTAATAATGCCTCTTCGCCAGCATCCTCTACTCTCCCCGCTTTATCACCGCAGCCTCTTCTAAATCTTCAGCTCTGAATCTCAGAGGAATAGTAGTCGTCAAGCCAACTCCTCTGGATGACAACAGGGAGACTGAGTCTCCTCTTTGGACATGAACCCTGAAATCTTAACTCTGCCACCGCGGTTTAGCTACATGGAGAACCACAAGCAGCACCTCAGGAGGAACGGAGAGGGAGGAGGAGGGGTGGTGGTGTAGCGTCAAAGTGGAGATTCAGATGGAAATATGGTCATATCCCATCAGGTTGGGTCAAGAACCCAGGGTGTGGAGGAGAAGATGGGGGTCGAAGCCCATCAGGTCGGACTGGGTGGTGAACCCATGTTATGTGTGTGGCTGAGGCTCTGAGGGTGCAGCTGCTGCCACTTCTGCTGCTGCTGAACAGCCAGTTGCTGAGACTGGTCAGACGACAACAGGATGTTGGTCAGAGGAGAGACGCAGTTGGCTGGAATGATCAGGCCTGGACAAAAAGAGACAGATGGGAAATAACCACGTTAGAATGAAGGAAACAAATAATTTCAACATCTGTTCATTTATAGTTCACTTGTTGGGGAGGAGAGGGACCAGCTTCTACTTTAGTAGAATACTACTCCGGTAAAACACATAACAGGTAAACAGGTTGTGACTTACCTCAAACATTTAAAAAATGCTTCTGCCCACACTTCCAGCATCAACTTACCCACGATCCTCTGCCCGTCCTCCGTCCTGAGACGGACAATTTGCATCTTGATGTTGGTTCCGCTGACGGAGGACAGGACTCCCTCCACCTTGGTCCACACGCTGAGCACAGAGCCACACAGGACATAGTACGTCCTGCAGCGCAGACCCACCTCACACTGCAGACCCACCAACGCCTTCTTACAGTTACCACGCCTGGAGGGAGGAGAGGGGGTTAATTAACACATGATTCACCTTTTTTCTGACTAGTTCATTAAAACTATACTGGTAAAGAGTAAAACCTGGTAGTGAACTTGACAACTTCACCAAAACCACAGCTACAACTTTACAGACATATGCGAAACGGCACCTACCAGTAAGCATGAGAGCAGATCTCAGCTGAAGACTTGTACTGGTCAATCCAGTGCTGCTTGGCATCGTCTGACAGCACCTTTTTACACTTCTTCTTGATGTCAGCGTAGGCCTCCAGTTTCAGCTGTTTGCCTGTGTTGGGTCTGTAGACCAGGAACAGCCTCTTCTTACTGTTCACCTCCTTCACCAAGATAGCAGTCTTCTTGTTGTTCCTTATCTGGGGATCAGCAAAATACATCTAGCGTTTGTAAAACAAAAAAAAAATGCTATGGCAATAAAAACTCACTAGGTATTTCATTGAGTATGAAAATCAGAATGTTATATTTGGTGCCAACATGTAGAGTTTGTCAAACTCCGTAGAAGAGACGAAAACATCTGGTTGGTCTTTTGGTACCTGTACATAGAAGCCATCGTCTGGTCCACTCTGCTCAGCCCAGGCGTGGGTAGCATCCTCCCAGGACATGCCTCTCTCCACACTCACCTGAGACACAGAAACAGTATTTACAAAATGGAAAATGGCTACCGGTCTGTTGGGGATGTAAGAAATAAGAGTTTCTTGTTAAAACCAGTTTCTATTCCTGTCTATTGAGAAAAACAACGGTCAACCATACCGTATAGAGCTCCACGTGTCCGGAGGTGGAGTAGCCTGGAGTCAGGAACTTTTTGGCTTCCATCTTCTTCACCTTCTCATCCCCAGAACCCAGGTCTAGAAAGAGAACAAGATAAACACAATACTAATCAGATCCACATAGCAGCCATTTTGTCCAGACCCTGTCTGAAACCATGGGTAGTTGTTTAATACTGTGTCATGCAGAGTATAGTCCCTCATTCACAGTAGCTGGCATTCATCTCCTTTAACAGAAAAAGGTTTAAGCCGGTCTTACCCAGAATGCCCATGTCGTAGCGTCCATTCTTCTTGGCGTTCTGTATGACGGCTGCCAGTGTGTCAGAGAAGTACTGGAACAGAGCATTCTGCTCCTGCACTGCCATCCCCAGGATACGGTTCAGGAACTTCCCTATGTTGTTGTAGTCTGGGGAGGAGAGAGGAAAGTGTCAGGTGCAGCAAGAACCGTACAGTCTAATACTTTTTAATGTCATCTGACAAGGTTTAAAGTCAGAGCCAGTCTCACCTTTGTCCAGAGACAGGATCCCTGATCTGTCCTCCACATTGATCAGACCCACTCCGATCAACCCATGACGGATCTCTGCCAGGGAATAGGATGAAGACAGTACCCACATCAGATGGAAGTAAGACCACAGCCATGCACCAGAAATAGATTAACTCCGTTTGTGGACTGAGCCAGTCGTGTGAATTATAGACATTATGAAAGAATCCCCAGTATCAAGCAGGAGAACGGAATTTTCCCTGGCTCAAAATAGGGACATAAATCCTGTGACTGTCACAAGATCTGTCCAGACACTAGAGACATACCTTTGTAGAAATCCCCTTCGAAGTTCGATGGAGGATTCACTAACGGAAAGTCCAGGTTGACGATGGACTTCATCACAATCTCCAGGGCATTTCTGCCATACTGTGGATTGGAAAAGAAAGGAGTTACAACCAGAACTACAGGGAACCACACACACACACAAGTTCTCTATCTGCTTACTTTGTTGTCGAAGTTGAACCTGCTGAGATCTCTCGTTTCTGTTGCTCTTCTGTCTCCATGGGTGAGGGCACCCTGTGGAACACATATTACATGTAGCATCAGTGGCTCAAACATGGGTGATAATATCCACATTTTCCACTGGTCAGATCAATTGAACCACTGACAGGACATGTTCTTACCAGGCTCTCCAGTCTCTTGGCCACAATGGAGGCAAACCTCTGTTCCCCAGCCAGCTCAGAGATGAGGAACACATACTCAGGAGCCGTCACCTGGTTAGACCTGTGGGTCCTCCCTGAGAGAGAGAACGAGACATCTGACAATGGCACCATTAAGCAGAACACACATTGAATTAGTCTAAATACCTCACACCTGCTATTCCCATTGAATCAGAGTGGAAAAACCCCAGAGGAGACATACCAGCTAAATTAACTACCATCAGCCACCTTATCAAGACAAGTAAATCCTACAAGACAAGAGTGAAAATAAAGTTTGATTTAATTTCTATACCATTTTCACTTCGTGATCCTTCAAAGGTTTTGTAAAATTTCAGCTAGTGGTTTTGAAAGTAGCGCTCACGAGCCAAAATTGGTCCCCGAAAATTGTGCACAATTGTGTACTAAGTCATCCATTTCGTATGATATGTTACAAATTCCAATTCGTACAATATATACGAATTTGTAAGTGCTTAAGATCCCGGACTGCATCTTTAAGTCTCAGTGCTCGAGACTGTATGTGTGTAATGAAACCACAGCCAGAAAGACTTTACTGACCAAACTGCTGTATGGCTCGGTCTGCGCTCCAGGGTAGCTCCAGGGTCATGTGGACCCTCCTCCTCTGGTTTTTCACTCGCCGGTCAGCCTGCAGGGAGATGCCCGAGCTGGCCGCCTCTGAGATGATGGCTATGTTCTGGAGAGGGAGAAGAACAAGGTTAGGAATGGTTCTGTGCCATTGTTTGGGACTACTATATACACTGCTCAACAAAAATAAAGGGAACACTTAAACAACACAATGTAACTCCAAGTCAATCACACTTGTGAAATCAAACTGTCCACTTAGGAAGCAACACTGATTGACAATACATTTCACATGCTGTTGTGCAAATGGAATAGACAACAGGTGGAAATTATAGGCAATTAGCAAGACACCCCCAATAAAGAAGTGGTTCTGCAGGTGGTGACCACAGACCACTTCTCAGTTCCTATGCTTCCTGGCTGATGTTTTGGTCACTTTTGAATGCTGGCGGTGCTTTCACTCTAGTGGTAGCATGAGACGGAGTCTAAAACCCACACAAGTGGCTCAGGTAGTGCAGCTCATCCAGGATGGCACATCAATGCGAGCTGTGGCAAGAAGGTTTGCTGTGTCTGTCAGCATAGTGTCCAGAGCATGGAGGCCCTACCAGGAGACAGGCCAGTACATCAGGAGACGTGGAGGAGGCCGTAGGAGGGCAACAACCCAGCAGCAGGACCGCTACCTCCGCCTTTGTGCAAGGAGGAGCACTGCAAAATGACCTCCAGCAGGCCACAAATGTGCATGTGTCTGCTCAAACGGTCAGAAACAGACTCCATGAGGGTGGTATGAGGGCCCAACGTCCACAGGTGGGGGTTGTGCTTACAGCCCAACACCGTGCAGGACGTTTGGCATTTGCCAGAGAACACCAAGATTGGCAAATTCGCCACTGGCGCCCTGTGCTCTTCACAGATGAAAGCAGGTTCACACTGAGCACATGTGACAGACGTGACAGAGTCTGGAGACGCTGTGGAGAACGTTCTGCTGCCTGCAACATCCTCCAGCATGACCGGTTTGGCGGTGGGTCAGTCATGGTGTGGGGTGGCATTTCTTTGGGGGGCTGCACAGCCCTCCATGTGCTCGCCAGAGGTAGCCTGACTGCCATTAGGTACCGAGATGAGATCCTCAGACCCCTTGTGAGACCATATGCTGGTGCGGTTGGCCCTGGGTTCCTCCTAATGCAAGACAATGCTAGACCTCATGTGGCTGGAGTGTGTCAGCAGTTCCTACAAGAGGAAGGCATTGATGCTATGGACTGGCCCGCCCGTTCCCCAGACCTGAATCCAATTGAGCACATCTGGGACATCATGTCTCGCTCCATCCACCAACGCCACATTGCACCACAGACTGTCCAGGAGTTGGCGGATGCTTTAGTCCAGGTCTGGGAGGAGATCCCTCAGGAGACCATCCGCCACCTCATCAGGAGCATGCCCAGGCGTTGTAGGGAGGTCATACAGGCACGTGGAGGCCACACACACTACTGAGCCTCATTTTGACTTGTTTTAAGGACATTACATCAAAGTTGGATCAGCCTGTAGTGTGGTTTTCCACTTTCATTTTGAGGGTGACTCCAAATCCAGACCTCCATGGGTTGATAAATTTGATTTCCATTGATCATTTGTGTGATTTTGTTGTCAGCACATTCAACTATGTAAAGAAAAAAGTATTTCATAAGATTGAATGAAATATTCAGATCTAGGATGTGTTGTTTAAGTGTTCCCTTAATTTTTTTGAGCAGTGTATATATTCAACTGATTCTATAGATCTGTGACTCAAACAAGCAGACTGCCCCCCACTGCCTTGCACACAACCTACATTTCTCAAGTCAATGTGCATGTACCCCTCGCCAAAGTCAGAAACATGGGGTAATACTGTTCCATTCTCTCTTCCTCCTCCTATCTCTCTCTTCCCATCCTCCCGTACCTTCTCTCCGTCCATGAACCTCTGTTTCTCTGTGAGGTTGAGGATCTCCACAGGAACATCCAGTTCAGAGCGAGACTCGTAGGAGATGCTGCCATCATCATTACTGACCACCCGGCCTTTACGCCCAGTCATCTGGAACACAGAGAGGAGACAATGTGAGAACAAAACAAAGAATCTAAAAAATGGTAAGATGGTCAAGAGGTCCATCTCAAGCTTTAAAAATGTACACATTTGCAGTTAACAATGAGAGGACTTTTAGTTTCTTTTAATAATTGATATTTTATTTTGTCCAGTTCCCAACAACGTGCCATTGTTATTTGTATCCATATTTAATTGAACCCGCTACCTCAGCCACGTTGTCGGGTCCTCCCAGCTCGTCTATGAGTTCATCCAGAGTGTTGGGAGGTAGATCCTGAGCCAGCTTCTCCAGCTGGTCCAACAGATCTCTCTTCATCTGCTGAGCATCTTCCACAGCATCCTGACTGGTCATACAGCCGTCATCTACCTCTACCTTGGCTGATGGGGCGATAAGAGGGAGGGATAGAAAGGTTGAATGTTCATCTTCATCTGCTCATCCTGGCTGGTTATACAACCCTAACTCAGACTTTAGAGCATACATTGAGGGCAATGGGAGATTAGCACAGAAGTCCGACTCCACGCTCACTTACGGAAGGTGTGTTGTTGCTACTAACTCACCTATGGCAGGTGTGCTGGAGGTCTTGACTGTTGGGGTGGTGAAAGCAGGCCTGGTGGAGCCCAGGCCAGAGGCTAACAAGGCACTGTGGATAGAGTCTGGGTCAATGCTCTTCTTCTTTTTATTCTTCTTCTCCTTGCATTTCTTCACCCCTTTCCTCTTTCCAGACAGCCAGGGGTCTGGAACATGGGGGAAACATATGAGACTATGTTAGGTAGGTAGTTAGCTCGTAATCATCAGTCTTAATCGTCATCAAACTCCCTCTCTCACCATCCTCCTCATCCTCGCTGGAATCATCCTTGAAGGGGTTGAAGTCGTCTTCGTCATCTTCTCCCGAGCTGACCGACTTGAAGCTGTCGTCACTCTCTGCATAGTCCTTATCAGACTCCACTGATTCGCTGTCGTCAGAGCTGCTCCCCGACAGACCACCTGACTTTCTCTTCCTCTTCTCTGCCTTCTTTATCTCAGCACCTGCAGGGAGGGAGAGAGAGAGAGAGAGGAGGGAACATTAACATTGGTAAACATAGCCAAAACACTACATTAGTGTTGGGAGACTTGAGTCTCATATGTGGAACAGTAAGCCAGAACATTCCATAAAACACCTACGATGAGTCAAAGGTTCACGCAAAAAGAACACTGGATATGCAAAAAGAGATCTCTTGCTGCTGAAGTAACCAACTGAACAAAACCAAGATCAAACTCTTCACTGTCCCATTACAGACCCAATGACTGCCCTTTCCTACAGAGAGAGGTTGGCTAACTGCCCTGCTGTACCTTTCCTCTTCTTGCCCTTCTGCTCTGCTGCGGCCTCGCTGGGCAAGGGGGTCTTCATGGCCGGCAGGTCGATGCCCAGCAGGCTGAACAGCTTCTGTCTGTCTGGAGCTGGGAAGTGCTTCTCTACAAGTGACTGCAGCACACCTCTGAGAGGAAAAGAGCGAGAGAGCAAACACCTTGTTATAGATGGTACTAGCATACACCTGGCATTAGCATGTAGCTAGCTAACTTTACAGCTGCTCAATAGATTCCATATTGTTTCCCAATATGTTCTCTCGCCGATGTTCCTTTGAGCAAGGAACTTAACACCCTAAACTGCTCATTAGGTGCTGCACTATGGCTGCCCTCTGCTCCAGCCTAATATAATATATGCCATTTAGCAGACGCTTTTACCCAAAGTCATGCGTGCATACATTTTACGTATGGGCAGTCCCGGGAATCGAACCCACTATCCTGGCAGCGCCATGCACTACCAACTGAGCTACAGAGGACCAGCCACTCTCCAACCTAATGTGTTTGTGTCAGGGTTTCCGTTAGCCAGTAATAGATGATTTTTTACCATAAAAAAATAATAGAAAAGCGATAAAATAAAATTTGGCACCGGCCAATTGTCCGGGAGAAGAAAAAAAAAAAAAATCCCATTGCAAAATAACGCTTTGTAGTCTATTCATTGATATAAATACATTTGACCGGCCATGCTCATGTCTATGGGTTAATTAGCATAATGTAGGCAAGTCAGTTAAGAACAAATTGGTATTTACAATGACGGCCTACCCCGGCCAAACCCTCCCCTAGCCCGGCCAAACCCTCCCCTAGCCCGGCCAAACCCTCCCCTAGCCCGGCCAAACCCTCCCCTAGCCCGGCCAAACCCTCCCCTAACCCGGCCAAACCCTCCCCTAACCCGGACGACGCTGGACCAATGGTGTGTCGACCTATGGGACTCCCAATCACGGCCGGTTGTGATACAGCCTGGAATCGAACCAGGGGGTCTGTAGTGACGCCTCAAGCACTGAGATGCAGAGCCTTAGACCACTGCGCCACTCGGGAGCGTGTATATTCCTTATACATCTTATTTATCACACTTTATGTATCGTAATTATCACACGTGCACAGTATACAGATAAAGGGCCTTTGAGCTGAAAATCTGCCAGACAGTGCTTTTATAAGCCCAATAACTGTGCAACAATTCTGAATTCAATTGTGTTTTAACAATAGTTTTTGGGCCACAATTAAAATGGAGTAATGAAGCAATGAGATGGAGGCAGTATGCATTTTGAAAACATATAGCTACTTAATTGTTTGAAAGCTGAAAGTTTTACAACATTTGAGGCATGTTTTACCTTGCTTCAAAGAAGCCTTGGCAAAATCTGTGGAGGCAATTATTTTATAAAGACTTCCATATGCCATTGAAACCAGTAGACTACTGCCTTGTGCGCATTGCTCTGGTAATAACTTTAAGAAATAATAGTTGATCAACATTTTAAGCTAAACGTTCTGATCTGTTGCATCAGATGCATTTTTTTTTTAAACTTTTTTTTATTTTTTTATGTAACATAGGCTTACTGGTTGTATGAATTTGGGATCTACCGTTCAACAACTGTCCCAAAGTCTGTTTGGGCCATTTCTCTCTCACCAATCTGACCAACAGAATAGGTAAACATTTCTACTATGGGGGATAGTAGATTGACATATGGACGTGTCACCTATGAGCCTAAGCCTAGGGGAAGCTTTCCCTAAGTAAATTGAATTGCCAAAATTATAGAGCCTAATTAGCCTACTTCGGTCTATAGAGAAATACATAAAATCATTTACAATTAGGCAACTACAGCATGATTTGGCCACAGAGGATCATTAGCTTCGCCTAGCCTTAAAAAATAAACACGTTTTAAAATCGCATTGCCAACAGCCAGCACACGCAAATACCAAATAGATGATTTTTGCGTTGCGACTGTCAGTGAAAAGTAGAGGCCCAGCCAGGCATATCGCAATATTTTAAAATTCAATCATAGGAAAACAGTTTGGAAAGCAAATGGCTATTGCTGTAAAGAAAAGACAATAAAAATACTAATCTGTCTGTTAGTTATCAAAATTCTCAGCCTATCTTATTGGCATCAGCGGAGCGAATCGGCCATATCCCCGGTGAGTGCGCACTACGCATATTCACTCTCATTGTTGGGTCAGTGCCACTTTAAAGTTTGTTTTTGGCCAATAATTTCTTCCTCCAGTTTAGATGGACGCCATATTCTATTTATCTCTCCCCTTCTCATAGGTCTATTATACGGACAAGGTCGTTTTTATTGATCTGTTTGTCAGTGTCAGCAGGGTAGGCTACCCTGTAATTTGTCTTATTAAAAAAGATACTGCTAATGTCTCCATGTGTTTTTCCCGTGCAAAGAAATAAGAAATATATCTGATATAGCCTATAGCCCAGGCCTCCACGCTACACGCATTCAGCCATGCATTGAACAGTCTTTTTGAGAACAGTGATTCAGTTACAGTGCATTCAGAAAGCATTCAGACCCCTTGACTTTTTCCACATTGTTACGTTACAGCCTCATTCTAAAATTGATTAACACCGTAGGGATGGTGCCTGGTTTCCTCCAGATGTGATGCTTGGCATTCAGGCCAAAGAGATATTGGTTTCATCAGACCATATAATCTTGTTTCTCATAGTCTGAGTCTTTAGGTCCCTTTTGGCAAACTCCAAGTGGGCTGTCATGTGCCTTTTACTGAGGAGTGGCTTCTGTCTGGCCACTCTACCATAAAGGCCTGATTGGTGGAGTGCTGCAGAGCCGGTTGTCCTTCTGGAAGATTCTCCCATCTCCACAGAGGAACTCTGGAGCTCTGTCAGAGTGACCATCGGGTTCTTGGTCACCTCCCTGACTTAGGCCCTTCTCCCCCAATAGCTCCATTTGGCCGGGCGGCCAGCTCTAGGAAGAGTCTTGGTGGTTCCAAACTTCTTCCATTTAAAAATGATGGAGGCCACTGTGTTCTTGGGGACCTTCAATGCTGCAGAAATGTTTTGGTACCCTTCCCCAGATCTGTGCCTCGACTAAATCCTGTCTCGGAGCTCTACAGACAATTCCTTCGACCTCATGGCTTGGTTTTTGCTCTGACATGCACTGTCAACTGTGGGACCTTATATAGACAGGTGTGTGCCTTTCCAAATCATATCCAATCAATTCAATTTACTACAGGTGGACTCCAATCAAGTTGTAGAAACATCTCAAGGATGATCAATGGAAACAGGATGCACCTGAGCTCAATTTCGCGTCTCATAGCAAAGGGTCTGAATACTTAAGTAAATAAGGTATTTCTGATTTTTATTTGTAAAACATTTGCCAACATTTCTAACAACCTGTTTTCGCTTTGTCATTATGGGATATTGTGTGTAGATTGATGAGGAACATTTATTTAATCCATTTCAGAATAAGGCTGTAAAGTAACAAAATGTGGAAAAAGTCAAAGTGTCTGAATACTTTCCGAATGTACTGTATATTATGAAATTATGACTATCCAATCAACTAATCACATTACGAATAGTAGGCCATCTTACATAAGTCTGTAAATGTGATGATGCATGGAATGCTTTATTATAACAGTGCATTTTTATGGTGAAAATGTGCATCCCCAAATGTCAAACTTGCGTGCCGCCTATGCATAGGCTAGTGACTTTGCTGTTCGTTACTCGTCTTGTTGCCTGAGGAAAATTAAATGTGGACAGTTATTCGAACATCTTCAAAGTGCACGATAAGGACACACGTCATTGCATCCTTGACTTGCATGTTCTGTTAAGATTAATTACCATAATCTAAATGTGATTACTGTCATTCTGAGCACCGTGGGTGGACGCCTGAAATCAGGTTACGCACTCAATGCATATGGGTTGGGTAAATATGTCAGAAGTCTGGTAAATTAAAATGCTGCCGTCAAATGTCCAGTGCCACATTTTCGGAAACCCTGGTTTGTGTGTATGTGTGTTTGTATATCAGAGTGGTTGGATTAAAGCAGAAGACATTTCCATCACGTATGGACTAATAAAGTATATCTTATAAATCTGGGTGAAAAGTTACTTGGCGGTGGAGACAAAGTCGTTGAGCTCTCCTCCTCCTTCCTCCAGGGCCTCCAGTGTTCTGGCCTCTCCTGTCGACTGGAGACCAATCACCACACACTGTAGAGAGAGAGACAGACAGGCCTTGAGTCGCACACAGTCTGACGGTATACAGCAAAATGTCTGGGAGAACACCAGTCACCTCTCCTCAAACCAACCAAAGGAACCAAAATACACTAGAACCAATATGCAGGAATATGATATGAATGTGGCAGTTTTCCTGATCTTCTGAAGTCAGAAAAATCTAGATTCCTGGAATAACAATCTCATCTTTCTACCTTCTGAAACCTCCCACCCACCTTTCCGTTTTTGACCTCGTCCCTGGCGAGCTGCACCACCCTGCGGACCTTGGAGGCGATGCAGAGGTACTTGAAGAACCTCTGGTGGGCCGACCAGAACTGACCCCACATGGACTTCTTCATCCGCTGCTCTGCATCCATCAGGTTAGCAGCCGCCTGGAACTTCTCCCGCGCAGCCACCCACTGAAACATGGAAAGAGAGGATAGAGTTAAAACACACACCGTTTCTGTTTCAATCTTACTGAAAAGAGCCCAGGGATAACTTATGTTTAGGTTTGGGATTAGGTCAAGGTTCCTTACCAGGCGAACAGACTTGTTGTACATCTTGATGTAGTGGGTTGTCAGGGGAACCTCCTCGATCTTGAACGTAACGCCCGTGAAGCTCAGCTGCCTGGCGATGTACATCCCCCTCAGCTTCATATCCATGGCAACTATCTCCATAGCACCCACACCTCTGAGGACAAGGCAATACAAGGGAGGGAAATTGTTATTTGGAATAGATATTTAGTCAAGGACAAATTTAATTTGTGATATACTAGATATCAATAGGCATAGAGAAGGTGAGGTATAACAAGACCTTTGCAGGAGAAGTTGTCCTACCAACCCAGATTTATCGGCATATTCATGTTTTCTAACAGTTCTAGTGGGTTGAAGATGTTCTGCCTCTACAGATTCCATCTGCCAAAAGTCATAACTTTAAGGTCGCTTGCTGCATCCATTCCATGGCTGTTTTTAAAACACATACACCACCGTTCAAAAGTTTGGGGTCACTTAGAAATGTCCTTGTTGTCGAAAGAAAAGCACTTTTTTGGTCCATTAAAATAACATCAAATTAATCAGAAATACAGTGTAGACATTGTTAATGTTGTAAATGGCTATTGTAGCTGGAAATTGCTGATTTTTATTAAAAATGGAATATCTACATAGGCGTACAGAGGCCCATTATCAGCAACCATCAGTCATGTGTTCCAATGGCACGTTGTGTTTGCTAATCCAAGTTTATCATTTTAAAAGGCTAATTGATCATTAGAAAACCCTTTTGCAATTATGTTAGCACAGCTGAAAACTGTTGTGCTGATTAAAGAAGCAATAAAACTGGCCTTCTTGAGACTAGTTGAGTATCTGGAGCATCAGCAATTGTGGGTTTGATTACAGGCTCAAAATGGCCAGAAACAAATAACTTTCTTCTGAAACTCGTCAGTCTATTCTTGTTCTGAGAAATGAAGGCTATTCCATGCGAGAAACTGCCAAGAAACTGAAGATCTCGTACAACGCTGTGTACTACTCTCTTCACAGAACAGCGCAAACTGGCTTTAACCCGAATAGAAAGAGGAGTGGGAGGCCCTGGTGCACAACTGAGCAAGAGGACAAATACATTAGTGTGTCTAGTTTGAGAAACAGACGCCTCACAGGTCCTCAACTGACAGCTTCATTAAATAGTACCCGCAAAACACCAGTCTCAACGTCAACAGTGAAGAGGCGACTCCGGGATGCTGACCTTCTAGGCAGAGTTGCAAAGGAAAAGCCATATCTCAAAATGGCCAATAAAAATAAAAGATTAAGATGGGAAAAAGAACAGACACTGGACTTTTTCTTTGCAACTCTGCCTAGAAGGTCAGCATCCCGGAGTCACCTCTTCACTGTTGACGTTGAGACTGGTGTTTTGCGGGTACTATTTAATGAAGCTGCCAGTTGAGGACCTGTGAGGCGTCCGTTTCTCAAACTAGACACACTAATGTATTTGTCCTCTTGCTCAGTTGTGCACTGGGGCCTCCCACTCCTCTTTCTATTCTGGTTAGAGCCAGTTTGCACTGTTCTGTGAAGGGATTAGTACACAGCGTTGTACGAGATCTTCAGTTTCTTGGCAATTTCTCACATGGAATAGCCTTCATTTCTCAGAACAAGAATAGACTGACAAATTTCAGAAGAAGGTTCTTTGTTTCTGGCCATTTTGAGCCTGTAATCTAACCCACAATTGCTGATGCTCCAGATACTCAACTAGTCTCAAGGCGGCCAGTTGTATTGCTTCTTTAATCAGCACAAGTTTTCAGCTGTGCTAACATAATTGCAAAAGGGTTTTCTAATGATCAATTAGCCTTTTAAAATGATAAACTTGGATTAGCAAACACAACATGCCATTGGAACACAGGACTGATGGTTGCTGATAATGGGCCTCTGTACGCCTACGTAGATATTCCATACAAAATCAGCCGTTTCCAGCTACAATAGCCATTTACAACATTAACAATGTCTACACTGTATTTCTGATCAATTTGATGTTATTTTAATGGACAAAAAAAGTGCTTTTCTTTCAAAAACAAGGACATTTCTAAGTGACCCCAAACTTTTGAACGGTAGTGTACTCTGCACCACTACGACAAGTTACTAGTGCCTGTCTCACTCACCGGCGCTCCACAGCCTGAATGAAGTTGCTAAACTCTCTGAAGGGGGTCCCCTCCCCCCAGATGCCCAGCCGGCTCATGTAGGCCATGTTACGGGGCTCAGACGCACCTGGACAAGGACACACAGTTAGATGGAGAACACTTCCATTCATTTAGGACATAACATCTTTCCTGCACGATATAATATAGACTCCGCTCAACATTCGAAGTGTGAAAACATCAGTAGCCTGTGGTTAGTAACGTACCAGTTGCGCTAGCGTACACCACCCGTGCCTTGGGCAGTTTGTTCTGCAGCTCCAGGACGGCCAGTCCAGTCTTGGTGGGTTTGGACGAGCCGATGGGACAGACATTTTTGGCTTTGTGACACTCGTCATACACAATCTGAACGGTCTTGGGTTAAGGAAAGGTGGTGTTATGTTCACTAAACAATTGACACTTCTAACAACCGGTTACTACTACTTCTAAGGGCAGTTATATAGACCCAGATGAAGTACTCTCAATATAATTTGGACAAATTGTATTACAAGGGCAATTAAGTTTCTTTTTTTTGTTCTTTTCTTTTTTTACAGTAGTCGTCAGGTGGTCAGTCAGTGAAAGGATACAACTCCGTCGAAGACCTGTCCACACCAGTGGAGCAGCTGTTTGAAGCGGGTCTTGTACTTCCCTCCAGACTGGCTCTCTCCTATCAGAGAGGAGTACGTAGCGAAGATCACCCCCTTCTTCACACTGCCGTTGTGTTTGGACGAGATCTTACCATACTTAAACTGGGAAACAGACAAAATAGGACATGTTTTTGAGTGAAGGAGAACAATACCTTTTTATGCATGTGAACACGTAATTTTGTAAGGCAAATATGAAAAGGATATCCAGTGTGAAGGAACCTCTTCAATTTATTACCATGTAAGAAACATGCATGGTGATGTACATTTGCACCCAGTGGTCAACCTCTTACCTTGTTGAGGGAATAGACCGGAATGTTCTTGGCTCCGATGTCTTTCAGATCCCTCTCTGCATCATACTTCAGGTCATTAGAAACACTGAACCTGTGAAGGAGATGGAATATATTTTGTGAAATGGGAAAATGTGTGTGTACCATCATCCTCCTTCATTGGCGGGATGTATCAAGTAATCCTAGTTTTGGTTTTACCAGAGTGATCTCTTTCTGCCCAGAAGATAGTTCTCGTAGATGATCCCAGCGATGGTCCGGCCCTTCCCCACTCCGGCCCCGTCTCCTATCAGATAGGACGCTCGGTCACCGTTAGGGAGGAATGTTTCATGTTGCTATGGAGACAAGAAACATTTCAGCACAAGGTATGTGAATAATCATCTACACTGGTACATAAAGTAGTGCCAAGCTGTAGTAGGGTCTTTATCTAGCCAGGTGAGCAGTAGTGTAAAGGTGTAGGATATTTACCTGGGCAGCGTACGTGATGGCCTCCAGCTGCAGGGCAGACAGCCAGCCGCGGTCGATGGTCTCCTCTGGTATCGACATTCTGTACCACACGTTGGGAGGATTCACACTGGACAGGGAGCTTGTCTCCACAACCGGGTCTGGGTGACGCAGCCCGATCCGCACTGGAACAATCAACATGATCAGTCAACCAACTGCTCAATGAAACCTTCATTTTGAATCAACTCCTCTGCTGCCCCAAAACAAAGTGACCTCTGCATGGGCTCCACCTATCTTTCATCAAGCAATACGACATGACCATGACAGCTTCAGTAAATGTGAAAGGAAACTAAATAGTTGGGAGTACTCAGAGTAAAGCTTACATTTCATGGGCATGTACTCCGCATATGTCTCGGCATGACCCAACTCTTCATCCTCCTCTTCCTCAGCCTCCTCCTCCTCTTTCATTCCTGGGAGTTTCTAATAAAAATATATCACTGGTTATTAAGAGGTCTGAAGTATTTCAAAGAAACTCAGGTTCTGTCATTCAACAGGGGGAACGGGTAGAGATTTTACTAGGACTACTACGACGCCTGCCTTTTGGTTAAGAGTCAGTGATGCCACAAACTCACTAATGTAGGTGAGAAGCTCCGCACTTTCACGTCATCGTTCACCCAGATCCGAGCGGCGTCTTTACCCGACACCTCCTTTATCCCGTTGTTCAGATCCACTGTGAGAAGAACAGAAAGAAGAGGAATCATTAGTGGAAAAACAGACACCAACTGACCAAGTCCATTAGAAACAAAGACTTCCACACACTTAGCCATGATTCACTTGGACTGAACAGCCCATGTGCAAGGTCACGTCTTAAGTCACCTCACTACTTCTTAAGTCTAAACCAACCGTAAATAAAGTGGATGTGAACTGTGAAAGTGCCATGAAGGTGTGAAAACTGGACCCTTTTACAACAACCCTTTCATTTCCCTCCCGTGATACATAACACTAAATTCTGAGATGATCCCTGATCCTGTCCATACCTGGTTTATGGATCATCTTTGTCGAGACCAGTATTATCTCTGCGAGAATGAGAGCATTGAACACTGATTGAGCATAGACATGTTTGGTACACATTAATGTGAGTTAAGTTAATACTCTGTACAATGAAGGGTTTTGACATGGCTGTTACATCCTGGTCAGCCTTTTCCAAACAATACACATGGGAATGGCATGAATGGATTGCACACTGGTGCTCAAAATAACATGGGCAGAAAACGTTTTTGGCTACATGACATCATTCTCAACTGACTCTTCTAACAGAAGATCTGCACCTTTAAATACGAGCAGTTTCAGCCCTTCAATGGCTTCCATCCCTTGACAAGGTCACCTCTGATCTTAAAGAATGGTATAGAATAGGTGAGACCCATACGGTAGTGACATCAAGTGAAAAGCCATTTTTGGAGCCATTGGAACCCAGTCAGGGTTCCATTAGTACTGTGACTCACTGGTGCCTGTTGCTGTGGCGACCGGCTGGGCGATGTCTGGCGGCGGCTTGAGCCTCATGAGTTCCACCAGACTACTACTCTTCAGACCGCCTGTCCTCAACAAGTCCTTCAGCTGGATCTGACACACAGAGGGAAAGATATACGTTATAACACGGAAGGCTCTTTAACTAAAGTTTAGTAGTCCCTCAATTTTTTGCTATTTTGCAAAGCAGCATAGGAAGTGAAGAGCCTCTCAGCCCTCATGAACTCCACCAAATCAGAGAGCACACACATCTGTATATTTGTCATTTTCAGCAGCATTTTTGTCCCAGGGCAAAAGCATTTCCTCCACTGACCTGCTCTCTGCTGGAAGAAACCAATGTGGAGACTGAGGGGAGAGCCGTGGAGGAGGTGAGTGTGGAAGTGGACCCCCGCAGGGCTGAGGGAGTGGTATGGACTACCTTGGTGACTGTGATGGTATGTCTGGCCGTGCCTCCAGTTGAGGGCTTGGTCACAACGATTGTTCCCAGCGATGGCAACTGATTCAGTTGATTTAAGACAAATGTTGTGGTTGAGGCCTGAGGCTTGTGCTGGTGGACCAGTGAGGAGACAAAAGACAGGGGAAAAGGGTGAGATGTTACCGCACAGAAATTATACTGCAGTAGAACGCTAGACAATTCGATTCACTATACAATTTGCAAATAGGTCGAGTAGTTTTTAATTCAAGGTATGTTTTCTGAAATGTGTAGATAACGCACAAATATTCTGGGTCTTTTTTAAATGGGAACAAACAGGTGAAAACATTTTCAAACGGAAAGCAAACTTGCTGGGCAAGTTTAAGCAGTGGCTGGCTTCTCCATTTCAAAACCCTGGTTACTAGTTGACTGAATAGGTTTCTTAGTAACAGCACACTGTAAGCAATCTTTAGTTGAATAGAGTTCCTACCCTGATTGTGACTGTTGGAGTGGGTGGAGCTGTGACTCCCGTTGGCTCCATCCCCGAGCCAACACCCAGGGCACTGATGGAGATGGACTGGAGGAGAGAAACAAAACTCACATCAGCACCAGAGAACACTACACATCTGAAGCAGCGCCCAGGCTGTCCTTTAGTTATGTATTCATGCAGATCAGAGGAAAGGAGGGAAAGCCACTACTGAGATGCTGGGAGGAGGCCACTATAACCTATTGAGATAATAACTATATAGTACTTTTCATTCAGAAGAGCTAGAAGTAGGGGTAGCACAATTACTGTGTAACCAACAGTTATGGATGAAGGTCTTCATGAAAATAAAATAAGCGAGAAAATTTGCTCTTTTTTTTTGCTAGTCAAACGGTTATAACGGGGACCGTGGTCAGTTGGCTGATCAATGACCGTCACAGCTCTATCTAAAAGCCACTTTGGACTACTGGGAAGATGCCTCCCTCAGTTTCACCTACCTGTGGGGTTGGAGAGGGCAGTGCAGCATCCTGGGGGTCAAAGTCAAACAGGTCGTTTGGGCAGATGCCGCTCTCGCTCAGGGCTGCCAGAAGCAAATCCTGTCCAGGATCCATCATCTGCAAACAGCAACAAACTGGTGAGTGACATCAGCAGCAGGGGACAGATAGGGCAACACCTCTCTATCCACTGCTAGTGATCTAACCAAAACAATTGTGTCTGTAGTTAAGACTTTTGTACATTGGGCTCTCTCTGACACCTTGGATTTAACAGTAAACAGTCTGTAGCACACCCTGCTACAACACACTATTTCACACAGGGAAATAGAAGCATAATAGCTCAAACAAAATAATTCAAACTACGCTGAATAAGAGTTGGGAGTTTTGAATCAACTGCCCTCATAAATCATTAGCAACAGATATTTCTCAAACAGACATTGGGACCATCTAACGCACAGCACCATGTGTCAGAGGTGTGATCACTGACTGTGTTGACCTTATTTATCTATCAGTTAATCCAACCATCAGACCAGAGAACTTCACTCAGCTACATAGTGACTAGCTGTGCACTCATAAAGTACAGTGTTGGTTGGTTGCTGCTGTAGATGTTTGTTGGTCATAAAAACAATAATAGGTGCCATCCAGAGATTATCGAAAGAGCGTTTTGCCTGGCATGTGGCACCTGCCGGCATGCTGCAAGGATGTTTGTAAATGTTGGACAGCAGTTTCCCAACCCTAAAAACAACTCGGTCAAGGTAGACCGCACGAATATTCTGTATTTACACACTTAAATATAATGTGCAGATCCAGGTGTATGATCTTGAGAACTTGTCTGGTTACAAAGTGACTCGGACCCCGGCACGTGTTTGCACTGACTGACTCCCTAGTCTCAACTTCCTGGTGTGACGTCGTTGCTCGCTAATGTCAAATCGAACAACGTGTTCTAACTAACTTATTAGGCTAAAACAGTCAAATTATGAATATGTCTTGCACAAATACATAGCCCAGCTAGAAAACAACACACCTAAAAAAAAGTTAACAGCATTGCAATATTCATAGACTCACTGTGTGGCAATATTAGCTAGCTAACGTTAGTTAACTAGCTAGCGTGCTTCCAACTAAATTGACCATTAATAATAGTTAGCTAACGTTAACTCTCCACATAATTGATAAGTCAAGTTACTATGGTATCAATGAACATCGATATTCAACTGTTATTTAACTTATTCAACTTATTTCTGTGGGAAAACAACCTTACTATTCACTCGAAAACAAGTCCAATTCACCTTGGCATTTGTTTGCATGCAACATAACTAACGTTAACTTGGCTGTTAGATAGCTTGCTGGATAACTTAGTTAGCTGGCTAACCCCTATGAATTTGACTACACTCAGCAAAACAATATAACGTTACTAAAAGACAGCCCAAATAACGCATTAGCTAGCATTATTAGCCATAGCTAGCTGTATATCTACAATAAATAGCTAGCTAGTTACTACTAGTAATGTTACAAGAGTATTTAGCCACCCAACGTTAGTTAGCTCAAGTTACCCTAGTTAATAGCAAACTAAGATGTGTTGGTGTTATGTTCAGTCACAGTTAGTTACTAACGTTAGCTAGCTACAGTAAGATAGATGGCTAACAGCTACAGGTAACTGCCATTAATTGAAAGAGGACAACAAAATACAATTTCACGAAAACAACATGTCACAGCCTCACTTTGAACACTTTACTGTGATCCTCGGGAAATCACCAATCATTTTCAGACATTTGTGCCTGGCAACAACACTCACTTATCAGTGAACGGGCGTTCCGTTTATCGCTGCGTTAACTGGGGATATTACCCTATTCGCTCCTCTGTTTTCTAACCACCTTCCGCCATCTTTACCAAACCGCCAGTCGCGTGTTGGTCACGTGACGTTTAGCCCGAGCTCTGGAATTTTCAGGCGAGAATTCTTAGCGCTCCGTCGATAAAAAATGATTTCCAAGTGGCTACGGGGCGTCCGTTGGCGATCACCAATCAATAAAGAAAAGAATGTTGGCATTTCAATCATATTTTTGTAACCTTACAGAGTCCAGAAACAGAGCGCTAAACCCGTGTCACGTGACCACGTGAGGTCTTTGACGGAAGTGACGTCTAGCACACGTTTCCTCATTATGCAACATATGTAATTTGGAACCCCCATGTTGGTAAGGTTCAATATATAACTCATTGGTAAGGTCAGGGCAAAACGTTAGCCGGCCTTTATTAGAGGTCTGTGTGTCATGATTTCAAATCATAAAGTCAATTCAAATGTCTACTCCTCCGTTCTGCATGTTTTTATATTGCATAAATCAATAAATCAATAGTAACCCAGTCTAGACCATAGAGAGAGAGACCTCCCAAAGAGCAAGCAGCAGCACAAGGCAAGGAAAATCTCCCTGGAAAATACAAACCTTGAGAGGAACCAGGCTGCACAATTCATGCTCTTGCTAGCTTAGTGGTTAAGAGCGTTGTGCCAGTAACCGAAAGGTCGCTGGTTCTAATCCCCGAGCCGACTAGTTGAAAAATCTGTCGATGTGCCCTTGAGCAAGGCACTTAACCCTAATTGCTCCTGTAAGTCGCTCTGGATAAGAGCGTCTGCAAAATGACTAAAAATAAATACATATCATTTATAATAAAATAACCTTTTACACAATCATAAAATGTAATACCTTGTAAGTCAAAAATGTTATACAATTTTTTTTTTTAAAAGGCAGTGTTAAAAGTTTGCTTACAAACAAAACATGGAAACAAAATATAAAACAGCCACAAACAAAACATGACACACCTGAACACAAAAATACAGAGAGCAAGAGAGAGAGAGTTTACACAGATTACTCAGATTCAGTAAAATGATTATTTTCATAAGTACATTTTTTAATGACGATTGATGATAATGATTAATGTTAATTAATCAAATCAAATGCTTTGTGTGAAAGCTCTCGGAAGCCAACTCCCCGAAACACTGTCAGACAGCGCTTCCTGCTGACCTTACGTTAGAACTACAGTCACAAATGTTCACATGGACCCTCACGTGAATGAGTTACAATAAAAGATGGCGGAGGGGAGGAACCGTGGAAACTACATGGGCTGAATAATTGCAAAGCAAAACATACAAAAGTATCCTTTGTGAAGACGGAGGAGAGGTGGGATGACTGTATGACGCAGGGGACATACGACTGCTGGATATTTTTTTTACTGCAACAGAAGAGTGGACCAGAAGCCTTTCGCATAAAAAGACAAAAAACAAAATAAACCAGAAATGAACGGGGTAAGTTGGCTGTAACAGCTACCTTTGTTATTTTATAATAGGTACAATTCATTTATGACAATAGACAGTGTACTGATATTTCAATTGTAGTTATTTGTTTACTTTATGAATGTCCAACAGTGCACTATGTAAGCCAGCTAGCTATGTTATCCTCCCTCCCCCGGCACTAGCTAGCTAACGTTACTCTATCCTATCGGTTGAATTAGCGAATGGTCGAATGCATGTTCTCGAAAACAGCCTTGTCACAAATAATTAATTCGATGAGTTAAGGGATTTAGCTAACAACCATGGAGGCCCCGTATGTTGTGGGTGTGTTTCGTCATAATAGCCAAATGTTTTTGCTGGCGTCACTGTGGTAGTATATTGACACAGGTCGCTTCTTTTTCATAAGATCATATTAGGAAACTGCCAGAAAGTACCCAACAATTGTTATGTTTGAATGTCCTCCACATTTCCCTGTTGAACGTTTTTATTCAACACCCACATTGTGATGACACACACAGTTTTGTATCGCTATCCTCCTTGTGGGGACCAAATAATTGATTCCTATTCCCTAAACCTATACCTAACTAACTTCTAACCCTAATTGTAACCCTAAACCTAACCCCTAAACCTAAAATAGCGTTTTTCCTAGTGGTGACAGACAAAATGTCCCCACTTGTCCGAATTTCTTGTTTTACTATCCTTGTGTGTACCAGAAGTCCTCACAAGGATAGATACACACACTACCTATGTAAGAATACTGTTCAGCTCAGCCTTCAACACCATAGTGCCCTCACACTGCCTGCCCTCCAGACCATCTAGTCTACAGCACCTGGTGTCACAGGAAGGCCAAGAAGATCATCAAGGACCTCAGCCACCCGAGCCACGGCCTGTTCACCCCGCTACTAGAAGGCGAAGACAGTACAGGTGCATCAAAGCTGGGACCGAGAGACTGAAAAACAGCTTCTATCTCAAGGCCATCAGAATGTTAAATAGTCACCACTAGCCAGCCTCTGCCCAGTACCCTGCCCTTAGTCACTGTTACTAGCCAGCTACCACCTGGTACTCTACCCTGCACCTTAGAGACTGCTGCCCTATGTCCATAGTCATTGAACACTGGTCACTTTAATAATGTTTACATACTGTTTTACCCACTCCATATCTATATACTGTATTCTAGTCAAGGCTCATCCTATATAACCACTGCTGTACACACCATTTCTATTCATATACAGTCTATACACACCATTATATACACTGAGTGTCCAAAAAATTAAGAACACCTTCCTAATATTGAGTTGAACACCCTTTTGCCCTCAGAACAGCCTCAATTCGTCGGGGCATGGATTCTACAAGGTGTCGAAAGCGTTCCACAGTGATGCTGGCCCATGTTGACTCCAATACTTCCCACAGTTGTGTCAAGTTGACTGGATGTCCTTTGGGTGGTGGACCATTCTTGATACACACAGGAAACTGTTGAGCATGAAAAACCCGAAACCGGTGTGCCTGGCACCTACTACCATACCCTGTTCAAAGACACTTAAATGTTTTGTTCGGTGGTGGAAAAAGTACCCAATTGTCATACTTGAGTAAATGTAAAGATACCTTAATAGAAAAGTGAAAGTCACCCAGTAAAATACTACTTCAGTAAAAGTATTTGGTTTTAAATATACTTAAGTATCAAAAGTAAATGTAATTGCAAAAATATACTTAAGTATCAAAAGTAAAAGTATAAATCTTTTCAAATTCCTTATACGAAGCAAACCAGACAGCACCATTTTCTTGTTTTTAAAATTTACGGATAGCCAGGGGGCACACTCCAACACTCAGACATCATTTACAAACGAAGCATGTGTTTAGTGAGTCCGCCAGATCAGAGGCAGTAGGGATGACCAGGGATGTTCTCTTGATAAGTGTGTGAATTAGCCAATTTTCCTGTCCTGCTAACCATTCAAAATGTAACGTGTCCTTTTGGGTGTCAGGGAAAATGTATGGAGTAAAAAGTAAATAATTTTCTTTAGGAATGTAGTGAAGTAAAAGTAGTCAAAAATATAAATAGTAAAGTACAGATACCCAAAAAACTACTTAAGTAGTACTTTCTAGTATTTTTACTTAAGTACTTTACACCACAATCCATGTCTTAAGGCTTAAAAATCCTTCTCCTCTCCTTCATCTACACTGATTGAAGTGGATTTAGCAGGTGACGTCAATAAGGGATCATAGCTTTCACCTGGATTCACCCTTTTTCTCCCCAATTTCGTGATATTACGATCTTGTATCATCACTGCAACTCCCCAACGGGCTCGGGAGAGGCGAAAGTCGAGTCATGCGTCCTCCGAAACGTGACCCGCCAAATGGCGCTTCTTAACACCCGCTCACTTAACTCGGAAGCCAGCCGCGCCAATGTGCCAGAGGAAACACTGTTCAACTGACGACCGAAGTCAACCTGCAGGCGCCCGGCCTGCCACAAGGAGTCGATAGAGCGCGATGAGCCAAGTAAAGCCCCCCGGCCAAACCCTCCCCTAACCCGGACGAAGCTGGGCCAATTGTGCACCGCCCTATGGGACTCCCTGTCACGGCCGGTTATGACACAGCCTGGGATCGAACCCCAGGCTGTAGTGACGCCACAACACTGCAATGCAGTGCCTTTGACTGCTGCGCCACTCGGGAGGCCCCGTTCTGATATTTCTTAATCTATTTTTGTTCTTTTTTGATTATGTGTGTATTGCTAGATATTACTGCACTGTTGGAGCTAGAAACACAAGCACCTAGGATAACATCTGCAAATATGTGTACACGACCAATAAGCTTTGATTTGATTTTACACAGTCGCACACACATACACAAAACACCAATAAATAATTGATGGTGTCCACCTCCTCCTTTTGACAGGACATGTTACTAAACAGCCACTCCATCACTCTCCGGAACCAGAACCACAGCAAGTCCAAATCACCTGCCCTTGATGCAATGACCATCAAACTCACACAGGAAGGAAAGTACACTGGACGCTGCTCTATACAGAATGATGCACCAAGGCAAGGTGATGGTATGTAGTGTATAGTAGCCTTATTATTATTATTTATTATTATAATAATAATATGCCATTTAGCAGACGCTTTTATCCAAAGCGACTTACAGTCATGCGTGCATACATTTTTTGTGTATGGGTGGTCCCGGGGATCGAACCCACTACCCTGGCGTTACAAGTGCCGTGCTCTACCAGCTGAGCTACAGAGGACCACCTTATCATTTAACTACTGCAGTGCATTCATGTCCTACTCGTTCTATTCTGCTCTTCTGCTTGATCAATTAGCTTGTTGAGTGTGCAACAGATCTTGTTGATTTAAATCCACTCAAGTTGCAAGTGTTTGATCAATGTATTGTATAGAATTGAAAAGGCCTAGATCAATGTGTAAATTCAGTGTAGAGACATTTATTTGCATTGTGAATACTGAGTAGAATGTGTGTTTAGCCTACATTAAACTTAAAAGGTTTGTTAAGAGGTTGGCTTCATCAGGCCCCAGCACTTCACCCCTCCTTCAAAAGTCACATCTTCTCATCACAAGTAAGAAGGAGCTGGGGGTTTGGTCTGAGCAGCATCTCAATAGTTTAAAGTGGTTTCCTCTCCCCATTTTACATTGGTGTTCTTAGGCAAAACATTAAGGAAAGGAGACAAGGAGATGAAGCTTCTGTAAACTAAACTATTCACATGCACCCTGTTCTATCCTCATCAGACTTTCCTCTCTGCTTTCCCCACCCAGCAGCCAGGAGACTGAACTCTGAGGCGGCATGCATCCTGAAGCTGGCGGACCGTGAGGAGAGCCACAGCCAGTGGCCCTGCAGGACAGAAGAGCACCAGGCCCCCCAGCAGCTTCTCCACTTCTCCCCAGTCTCCTGCCTCCACGCCCCATCTGAGCTCTCCTCCCCTCCTGCCCCCAGTAACAACATCACCCACACCCTCCTCGCCAACAACACTGCCGCTCACCTCGCCAACCAGAGGAGGGACATCCGACGCAAGGCCAAAGGAAAGAAGTCAACACTTAGAATGTAAGTTACCACTGGTTATCAGCTAAACAAAATTCTGGTGTTTTCATACCTTGGGATGTCTTAAATGCATGCACTAAACTGGAGCATGTAGATAATGAAGTAAAAGGGTGTATTTGGATTGAGACTGGTGAACTGCACATCGGTGCACATGGGAGAAGTGCAAACTATCAGGACTAGACTAAACTGATCTTGAGGTAGTGGTAGCTTGGGTACCTGTGTTTTTCTTCTTTCAACAACACCTACGTTGTTGACTTGCCAAACAGAATCCACTTGTCAAAACTTGTTTGCCAAGAAAGTTACAGATTTGCTAAAGTAGAAACAGGCTAGCACCCAGATACCAATGTACTTGTGGCCTTACTGTCTAGAATCTTGATTTTCTATTTTATAATTGATGTACCACAAATGGCTGCAACATTTCTGTTGGACACATAGTGCTTGTTTATTCACTTTCACAAGAAGATGGACATGGCTCATATGTGCCCGTGGATTTAAAAATGGTATTGTTTGTTAATATCAGTTCATACGTTTCCTTTCCAGGGCAGAGAGCAGGAATTCCCAAAACCGCAAAGTAACAGACTACTATCCCATAAGGAGAAGCTCCAGGAAAAGCAAAGCAGAGCTGAAGGTGAGCGTAAAGGGCATGTAATACTAAAACATTGACCAATACCATGCTGTTGTTATTAAGCAGTGTATTGAAAGATTAGCAATGCTAGTGTGGGATGAGGACCATGTGTGGAATGAGAACCTAGTTGTTTAGAACACCTGTCATTCTGTTTTATCATTTGCTCAGGGTTCCTACGGTCATGAAAAGTAATGTAATTTTAAAATGGTGTTTTCCAGCCTTGGAAAGTTTTGAAAAGTGATCAAATCCGAAACGTTTTGGGAAATTAATGTAATAATTTCTCTTAATGTAATTTATTTACGCGCAGTTTTAAATATTTGATAAATGAAATAAAAATCAACATATCAGCCAGGATCGCAATGACACTTTAGCGTGTATGTATTTGCGCGCACCACTTGCATATGTGCGAGGTGAGTGGACCATTCCTCAAGGAGTTGGTCGGATATTGCAGCAGCAGGTAGGTATAGCCTTTTAAAATATGATAGAGAACAGACTAACTAGGTAGCCAATTCAAAACATATCTTGTACCCTCTAGTTAACTGTTTAGCTATTATTAGCATGTATTAATGTTTTCGTCATGTCCCCAAAAAATTATCACCGACATTTGTGATTAAGGCCATACAAAGTTGATTTACTTTTTGAATGATTCATATGATTAATTTATACGATTTTTTTTCTTCCAGACTAAACAAATGATTCACTTCGCCATTGTATTAGTTCGTATTCTGTTCAATCGTGTTGAATCGAATCATGTGAATCAAAATAATAATTTGTGAATCGTGAACATTAATTTTAGGAAAAAATATATGCATGGTCCAAAGTGTTCAAATAATTTGACCAATATGTTATTTGGCTCATTTCTGCTATACATTTTTTCTGAGGAAACACTGGTTTGAGGGCTTTTTGTTTGTTTATTTATCAACAACAATTTGGGATGTTTTGACCAAACAAAATATTAAACAAAGCTGACCTTTTTTATGTTTGCAGTGTAACTTTGTCCTTCCTAAATGAAAAGCTTCATAAAATGTGTGAGATGAAATTGACTATAATGGCATTAGCAACTATAAGGACTTGTGTTCTACAATTAGTCTTATGACATAGTCATCATTACATGTCCTCTGTGCTTGTCTTCTCATAGTGTGAACAAAAGAAACACATTGATGATCTGATCATAAATGGGATCGAGGAAGGAATGGAGGTACTCATTGATCACAGCTTCTGAAACTTCACTATCTGACTGGCATGTTTATTTACAGACATTAAATGCATTGTTACCTTTTTATAGCTTGTCATTGATTTTTGGACTATATTGGATTCCAATATCTGAGTGAAATATATTTGGTTCAGGTGCAGCATATTGAGGGGAAGGGTCGAGGAGTGTTTGCCACCCAGTGTTTCCATAAGGGCCAGTATGTAGTGGAGTACCATGGAGACCTGCTGCAGATCACCGACGCCAAAACGAGGGAGGCCGAATACGCGCTCAACCCTACCACCGGCTGCTACATGTACTACTTTCAGTATATCTGCAAAACCTACTGGTAGGTCAAAACACTTCCTCTTTTATGTGTGTGGCATCTCTGGCATATCTGCAAAACAATTTCAGTGTGCTCACAGTTTGCTGCACTAATGCAATCTTTGTTTTAGTTTCATGATACAATAACTTTTCAACCATAACGAACTTTGTTAGATTAACCTAATATCAGCGTTCTTTCAATTGTTTCTCCCACAAGTGTGGACGCCACGAAAGAAACAGGTCGCATGGGCCGTCTGATCAACCACAGTAAGAACGGCAACTGTCAAACCAAACTCCATGACATCAACGGGATACCTCACCTCATCTTGGTGGCATCGCGAGAAGTCGATGAGGGCGAGGAGCTGCTCTACGACTACGGCGACCGCAGCAAATCTTCCATCGCATCCCACCCTTGGCTCAAATATTGATGGAGACAGCTCAAAGAAAAGGGAGAATGCTAACAACACCTTGGTTTCTTAATAGATCGTTTTTTTAAATGTAAAAATTGCCTTAGAATGTGTAGCACATTTTTTTCGAGAGGGGAAGGGGCATGTGTGTGCGGACAAACTAGGGGAAGGCAGTTTCAAGGATGGGTTAGGTTACAGTGACTTAAACGCATTTAGGTCGAGATGCATCTTCTGAATGTTTGCCGGCATCAATACTTTTTAATATATTTATCCGTCTATATGAAACATGCTAGTTTTTCCAGCACATTTCTTTTTGTATATTTTGTATTTAGACCAGTGCTTCCACGGCATGCAGGTTGTAGTTCAGTGTTATGCATTTTTATACAACGTTTTTCATAATCGGTTGTATAGTAGTTAGTTGCTTAACAATAATTATATTTATGGTGCAGAGGCCTTTCTGAGATGCAAACTAATAAGCCCTCTTTAAAAGGTTCCAAAACCTGGAATATGATTCCAACCATTTAAACTTACAGTTTATTTGAAATGTAAATTTTATGCCATGTTAAGTAGTTGTTTTATGAACTTGAACAAATCTCTACCCATCTTAACACACAAAGCTGTCAAAATGTCCACAAACAAATGCTCCACGAGGAAGTATTAAAATAAATATGTATGCTGGGGTGGAGGCATTGTTGAATAAACATGTTTTATGCAAAGTAGATTTTTTTTATATTTTATTACTAAAATCCTGAGAGCATCAGACAGATCACCTCTGTGATGATTGCATGAGGTTGTCCTTCCCAGAAACACATTGATATGAAAGGTTTTATAAATACACAGTTTGATGAAAGTACAGTAACACTTGTTTCTATTTAAAAACGTCTATGGAAGGACCGGCTTTACGAGGTGGGCTTGTTCGTAGGTGATACCAAGAGAAGTTCTGCGATGGTCGGGAAGGGAAATGGCGGCGAGTAGTGTGGGAGAAATAGAGAGAAGGTTAGAGAAGCAACAGCTGTGCTGGAGTGCGATCAATATGGGTGATCGTGCTGATGATATGGAGCGGGAGGATGAGGGTCAAGGACCTGAATTGTCTGTAGTGGAAAGAAAGGAAGAAGAGAGATCATGATACTGAAAGCAGTGGAGCATCTAGTGTAGAAAGAAAAAAGGTCAAGGTAGGAAGCAAGAGTAATGTGTCGGAGTGGTATGTTGTGAAGAGGTTTGATGAGATCACGGACTAATTTACAACCTATCCGACTAAGTAATGCCGTAGAGAGAGCCTAGTTAATTGGAAATGGTAGATTGCTAATATTTTGTGGTTGCCAGGCTCCGCAAAGGAAGATTCTGTAAATGGAAAAGCAACATGGGAAGAAGATTAAAAGCCATGTACCTGGAGCACAGTAGGTGGCGGCATGCACTTTAAACATTTGTTTGCGGGCCGCCATGATATCGAAGAAGAAAAGGACAGCTTTAATGAGACACATTTCTAAACGGAACGTACTGAATTAAAACATTTCCTACACGTACTGTTTTGAGTGATGCACACTTTTTTAAATTCCGACTGGTGTCATGCAAAACTAATCAGTAGCTATGTCGCTAACAAATGTACTTTTTCAGATATGTGATTACATTATGTAAAGTTGATTTATGAGCTGCGTGTTTTTAAAGCTATTAGTTTTTTTCGCCTCATTGTTTAGTGTCAGAGAAAGAGTTATGAACGACTGGAGTCCAGTGGCAAAAGTCTACGACCCTCTCAAGGCGGGCAGCATCGATGGCACCGACGTGGAGCCCCATGACCGGGCCGTCTGGAGGGCCATGGTCGCCCGCTACAAACCCAACAAAGCCGTGGTGGGGGACCCGCTCCTCACTCTGTTCGTGGCCCGCTTGAACCCTCAAACAACGGAAGAGAAGCTGAATGAAGTGTTCTCCAATTACGGGGACATCCGCCGGCTGCGCCTGGTGAGGGACATAGTGACTGGGTTCTCTAAGGGCTATGCCTTCGTTGAATACAAAGAGGAGAGGTCTGTGGTTAGGGCGAGGCGAGACGCAAACAAACTAGTGGTGGACCAAAGTGAGTTGTTTGTGGACTTCGAGCAGGAGAGGACCCTGAAGGGATGGATACCTCGTCGGCTGGGCGGAGGGCAGGGGGGCAAGAAGGAATCTGGTCAGCTGCGGTTTGGTGGAAAGGACAGACCCTTCCGCAAACCCATCAACCTTCCTGTCACCATGAACCAGGAATGGGGTAGTGGTGGCGGTGGCAGAGAGTGGGAGAGAGGAGGAGGAGGAGAGAGGGAGGAGCGCTACAGAGATGGGTCCCCGAGCCGTGCGAGAGAGACTGATTGGGGGAGGAGAGATGACCGAGACAGAGGGCGAGCGAGAGGTGGAGAAAGGGAGTACCACCGAGAGAGGGATAGGAGTTATGAGAGGGAGTCGACGACGAGAGAGAGGGAGTCGACGACGAGAGAGAGGGAGTCGACGACGAGAGAGAGGGAGTCGACGACGAGAGAGAGGGAGTCGACGACGAGAGAGAGGGAGACGACGACGAGAGAGAGGGAGTCGACGACGAGAGAGAGGGATGACAGAAGACACAGGGATGATAAGTACAGACACAGAGACAGGAGATAACTCAATGGTCCCTCTGACATATCTGAAAGGATCGCATGGGTGGAGAGTGAGGTGGAGCAAGTACTACAATAACTTTTTGACTACATTGGTCTCTTTTTTTCACCTGGTTGGTGTGGATGTGATGTCATCACCCATTTCTTCACTGCACGCCTCTGCTGGCCTGGCTCAGCAGGGTGCTATCAACCTGTTGTTCTTTATGTACTGAATAAAGTTTTTCTTTCTTTGACAGTCTGTTTTTGACAAGATGTGTTTGAAGAAAGTTGACATAATGCATGAAACATTCTGGGGATCACCACATTTATTGAGTAGGCATATCTGAATAAAAGGCAACAAGCTGTATGAAAACTGAGACATTTATCATATTTAAAATCCTTCCAATATAAATCTACCTGGTGTGAAGCGGGTCCATAAAGTTTGTTGCAAAAGAGGGATGTCTTGCATATAATGACACATCTGCCCTTGTTCGGATAGATACTGTATTATTTCCCTTAGTGTAAATTATGTTGTAGGTGTTGCCACTAGACGACAAGATATAACTTGTTTCGACTATCAATCCCTTTTGTCACGATAAGCTTTGCCCTAGTTTTGCACCTTGATTAAGTCTCTTGCATCATCAAATTAATTATTGAACAGTTCTCCAGTCGTAGTAATAGTATCAATGATCTCTTAGCATAGTGAGGCTGAAGCATTATGTCTGTCTGACTGCTGAAATCAGGACTACTCCTCAGTATCAAGAACCTCCCTCGTCCACACTAGCCATTTTACTTCTCACAAACCATCTTGCAGCCACAGCACAGAGTTTGGCAAACTGTCATCCATGTTTAAACCAAATATTCCACAACATTCACATTTGCATTCTCAATGGAGTGTTTTTAGTTTGTCTTGTCACATTTGGTTCCAAAATGGCGCCCATTCAAATTGTACATGTATATACCAAACACAGTTTGCCAAACTTGCACATCTTTGGCTCTCTTGCTTCATATGTACACCACTTGGCTGAAGGCACCATAAAAAGCCTGAAAACAAAAATCTAGTTAAATAATTTGAAAACAAAAATAGTCTTTCCATAAGACATCGTAAAACTACAACCTTCTGTGCTTCATTCACCACTGGCAAAATATAAAACCATAGCATTTTCTTTAAATTGGGCAATCCCACCTCAACACCTCAATATTAATTTATGTGCAAGGTCAATCTGTTAAAAAAAAGCCACCACATCTGTTCACAGACTTTTTAGCCAGTGCTGGTGAGGGTGTCCTAACCATAGCGCCCCCTAGCTGCCTCTGAGGTCATGACTGGTCTAGCTCAGGGTCAAGGGAGTAAAACGATGGATCAGAGCCTACTACATCTGGGTCCGTATTCGGAACTGACACCATTTTTTGAATCATGTCAAAAAAACATGCCCACTTGTCTTCAATGTTTCTTTACTGGACGTAACCCTCTTTCCTCTTCTGTGTACCATTATTCTCTATCTGGAGTGTCTCATGAGGTTCCTCTATCTCTCTCTCCTGTCACCTCTTTCCACAAACCTACCAAGCCTGACTCTGTCTCTCTCTCACGCCTAGTGTATCCCTGCCAGTTCTAACACGAAGGGAACCGCTCTGTGCATCCGTCAATTCTGGTGGCTTTCACCTTGGGATAAAGAAAGGCTTTAGAGAGGTTTTAGAGTTTTTTTGTTTTTAGTAGTCAAACTGAATCTGCTCCTCTTCACCCTCAACCCTCTGTGAGTCCTGTCACTTAGAAGCAAACATTTAATAAAATCCCATTATACTGCAGCAGGCGCACTAAGCACAGTCCCAAGGCAAGGCAAGGAGTTTACTGCCAAAGCCAGGGTGGTTAGGTTAAACTTCTCTAGATGCTGGGTGAATGACTCTGAATGACTCTGTTACTTAGAGCTGATGGTATTTCAGTGTCAGTATGTATCTCAGTAGGTGGATGGCTGTGCTCAGCTGTAGGTGTGTGTACTGTGCAGTAAGCTGACCGTTACGATGCCTTTAAGTGCATTGTAACGTTACAGGGAGAGAGTTCTGAGTGACATCATCAAACGCTGTCCAATCACTACATGTGCTGCAAAGCCTCCTGGGCCTGTTCCGTGTACACCTCATCATTCCCCGCCCACGAGCTGAAGCTGTCATCAAACTGGGCATTCCGCTGGGAGTTCCGCCTCTTGTCACGAGAGAAGAAGCTAAACCTGAGAGAGAGGAGGAAGAGAGGAGGAAGACACAAGGAAGAGAGGAGGAAGACACGAGGAAGACACAAGGAAGACACGAGGAAGAGAGGAGGAAGACATGAGGAAGACACGAGGAAGAGGAGGAAGACATGAGAAAGACACGAGGAAGAGAGGAGGAAGATACAAGGAAGAGAGGAGGTAGACACGAGGAAGAGAAGAGGAAGACACGAGGAAGAGAGGAGGAAGAGTGGAGGAAGACACGAGAAAGAGGAGGAATAGAGGAGGAAGAAACGAGGAAGATAGGAGGAAGAGAAGAGGAAGACACAAGGAAGAGAGGAGGAAGACACAAGGAAGAGAGGAGGAATACATGAGGAAGAGACAAGGAAGAGAGGAGGAAGACAAGGAAGACACGAGGAAGAGAGGAGGAAGACACGAGGAAGAGTGGAGGCAGACACGAGGAAGAGAGGAGGAAGACACGAGGAAGAGAGGAGGAAGACACGAAGAAGAGAGGAGGAAGACACAAGGAAGAGACAAGGAAGAGAGGAGGAAGACACAAGGAAGACACAAGGAAGACACGAGGAAGACACGAGGAAGACACAAGGAAGAGAGGAGGAAGAGACGAGGAAGACACGAGGAAGACACGAGGAAGAGTGGAGGAAGACACAAGGAAGAGAGGAGGAAGACACGAGGAAGAGACAAGGAAGAGACGAGGAAGACACGAGGAAGAGACGAGGAAGACACGAGGAAGACACGAGGAAGAGAGGAGAGAGACAAAAAAGAGAGACTTCACTACCAAGCATCATTGTTCCCTTATGTTCTCCAGTCCTGGTTATAACTGTTAAAATACAGAGAACTGAGATGCATTTCTACCAGTGGAGGCTGCTGAGGGGAGGACGGCTCATAATAATGGCTGGAATGGAGACAATGGAATGGCATCAAACACATGGAAACCATGTGTTTGATGTTTTTGCTACCATTCCACTCATTCCGCTCCAGCCATTACCACGAGCCCGTCCTCCCCAATTAAGGTGCCACCAACCTCCTGTGGTTTCTACCTAGTGAGTTATGAGATGAGACTGAAAGTGCATCAGGGTTAGAGCACAAAGCAACAGGAGCAGAGCAAAAGCAAAAGTTATATAATATAAATATAAATCTGTTAGTGAATCGGAAACGGGAGTGAATAAACATCCTATTCTGATTGGCTGATTCTAATAATCTACCATCTTCCCACTGGACAGTGATTTAGATATCCCCACAATCAGCCAATCAGAATACAAACATCTATATGGGGTGGGAGGGTCCATGCAGGTCCAGGGTTTTCATAAACAGGGCCCAGAGTTTTTACTGGTCAGATCACAAGATAAGAAAAAACTCCTGGCCACACAAATACATGCATTGGGTGTTAGCTAAGACAGTGAGTGACACAGAGGCCAACCAATGACTGGGGTCGTACAAGGGACATGAGACGTCTGATTGGCAGTAAAGTGGGGTCATCTGGAATCAACCCAGCCGCCACCATCGGCATTATGGCTGTGAAGATCCTGTCACACAGAGATACACACACACACAAACACACAGGTATAAATACACACACGCATATACCCGCACAAGCAAGTACACACACACACACATTCACAGAGAGGCACAGACAAGCAGAGAGAGAGAAAGAGGGAGAAGGAAGAGATGGACTAAATCAACCAAAGGCCATTTCCTGTATTTCCTTCTGCTGTGAGATGTAGCCATGTTACTGGTGTTGTTGCCAGATGGTTACTCTAAACCACACGTACCCATTTAGTTGACCAGGAGATAAATGCACATACACATCATACATGCTATATACTAAAGGAATCCAGTGTATCTGTGTGTGTGGTACCTACAGGCGTTTGATTCCTGACTCAGGCTGTGCGTTGTGTCGGGGCCGTGCCCTCAGTTGTTCGGGGGAAGGGGAAGGAGTGGGAGGGCCGGTCTCGTCCTCCGCCTCTTCACTGGAGAGAGGAAGAACAGTCATCGCTCCACTACCATCATCATCATCAGCATTGTCAATATTGTTAACTTCAATATTGTTAACTTTTAACTTCTTAAATTAAACCTGACAAACTGTGTTAATCTCATCTGATTGTTGATGTTTTTCTTAACATGTTCTGTGTATGGTAAAAAATAAAGATTGCTGCCTTTTGTAGTAGGCGACCTCCTCCTGCAGCATGAACACTTTGGCCTTGAGCTCGTTCCTCTCATGCAGAACGTCTCGCAGCTCCTGCAGTGTGAACCGGGGCCTGTTGGGATCCTTCTGGTCCAGGCCGTCCACCTCCTCATCACATAGAGCCTCCTAGTGGGGGACAGCCACATTACACAATGGGACTAAGGAAGGAAGGGAGGAGGGGAGGAAGAAGGAAGGAAAGGTAAGGAAGGAATAGAGGATAGGCAGGAAGGCAAGGAGGGATACCTAAAATGTTGGAACAGAGCAGGTGTGTCCTCATCACACATCGCCTCCTGGTGGCACAGAAAGAGAACTGTAGGTCAGACCCGAGGCCCTGTTTCAATACTAAGGAAATGCACCCTTCTCTTCTCTCTCTCCTTCCTTCCTTCCTTCCTTCCTTCCTTCCTTCCTTCCTTCCTTCCTTCCTTCCTTCCTTACCTCAGATACTGAGACTTCAGACTAACTCACTGCATGCAACCAACAGAGGTCAGTCATGCAGCAAACAGTCTTTTAGCAAGTCACTCTGTAGCAAATGAAGCGTGAAAAAAAGAGGCATGAACAAGTCATGATATTATCATGACTGGCTAAACTAATGTTCTAATTTCTTTAGAGTTCTGTTGGTAGAAACTGCATATGCTATTGCAGATGAAAGGCAAGGGACTGGACTAGCCCACGTGCTGTTACAGGGGTGTCAGAGCAGTCTATGTTTAGAGGTGACAGCTGCAGTGGTACAGTCTGACTCAGTTCTCACACTCACTCACACTCATGCACACGCAAGCACACACACACACACACACACACACACACACACACACACACACACACACACACAAATACACACACACACAGTCTGACATAGTTGGCAGAGGGACACTTAATTCACACATGCTCTGTGCCATTAAAATCAACATTTAGGGTGTTCACACGGGGGTAGTAGAACTGCAGGCAGGAGCACACAAACACTCCCACATACACACTGTGCATGTATATAACACACCCCGACACACACACTGACTGTAATGTAAGCATACGCACACTCCAACACATACTGTATCCATACACAATACCTCACTCTTCCTCTTACTCTCAAACACACACTTATGTGGGAAAGTTTAGTTAGGGAAAAAGGGTTCACTGACTCACATGCTGAACTACCAAGGTTTGCTGGATAAAAAACACAGTCCTTGAAATGCAATCAAACTTCAGAATCCCACAGGCATACAGGTCAACCGGGAAGCACTCTGTTCTCTAGCTATACCAGCATCTACAGTGCATTCGGAAAGTATTCAGACCCCTTGACTTTTTCCACATTTAGTTACCTTATTCAGCCTTATTCTAAAATGGATTAAAAAAAATAATAATCCTCAGCCATCTACACACAATACCCCATAATGACAAAGCGAAAACAGGTTTTTAGAGATTTTTGCAAATGTATTACAAATAAAAAACTGAAATCCCTTATTTGCATAAGTATTCAGACCCTTTGCTATGAGACTCGATATTGAGCTCAGGTGCATCCTGTTTCCATTGATCATCCTTGAGAAGTTTCTACAACTTGATTGGAGTCCACCTGTGGTAAATTCAATTGATTGGACATGATTTGGAAAGGCACACACCTGTCTATATAAGGTCCCACAGTTGACAGTGCATGTCAGAGAAAAAACCAAGCCATGAGGTCGAAGGAATTGTCCGTAGAGCTCCGAGACAGGATTGTGTCGAGGCACAGATCTGGGGAAGGGTACCAACAAATTTCTGCAGCATTGAAGGTCCCCAAGAACACAGTGGCCTCCATCATTCTTAAATGGAAGAAGTTTGGAACCACCAAGACTTCCTAGAGCTGGCCGCCCAGCCAAACTGAGCAATCAGGGAAGAAGGGCCTTGGTCAGGGAGATGACCAAGAACCCGATGATCACTCTGACAGAGCTCCAGAGTTCTTCTGTGGAGATGGGAGATCCTTCCAGAAGGACAACCATCTCTGCAGCACTCCACCAATAAGGCCTTTATGGTAGAGTGGCCAGATGGAAGTCACTCCTCAGTAAAAGGCACATGACAGCCCGCTTGGAGTTTGCCAAAAGGCACCTAAAGACTCTCAGACCATGAGTAACAAGATTCTCTGGTCTGATGAAACCAAGTCTCGGGACAAGTCTCTGAATGTCCTTGAGGGGCCCAGCCAGAGCCAAGACTTTAACACGATCTAACATCCCTGGAGAGACCTGAAAATAGCTGTGCAGCGACGCTCCCCATCCAACCTGACAGAGCTTGAGAGGTTCTGCAGAGAAGGATGGGAGAAACTAAATACAGGTGTGCCAAGCTTGTAGCGTCATACCCAAGAAGACTTGAGGCTGTAATCGCTGCCAAAGGTGCTTCAACAAAGTACAGAGTAAAGAGTAAAGGGTCTGAATACTTATTTCAGTTTTTTATTTTTAATACATTTGCAAAAATGTCTACAAACCTGTTTTTGCTTTGTCATTATGGGGTATTGTGTGTAGATTGATGAGGGGAAAAACGATTTAATCAATTTTAAAATAAGGCTGTAACGTAACAAAATGTGGAAAAAGTCAATGAGGTCTGAATACTTTCCGAATGCACTGTATAGAACACTGTTTAGGGTGGCGGTGCAAAGGTTAGAGGTCACGACAAACACACCATTCTGGGGCGGCTAGCTAGCTAGCACTACGGTGTTACCCATAGCAACACAGCCTCTTCCTCTACATCCTCATCAGCATCCAGGGACAGGAGGCGTGAGGCGGGATCGTAACGCCCCAACCGCAGCTCTGGGGGATAGTGTCTGTCTGGTTCGGGCCAGCCCACACCTTGAACCCCCGCCTCTGAGGAGGGGATACCAGGCTGGGGGGAGGGGAGGGGAGGGGAGGGGGAGGGGGTGGTTATTGTACCTTTTTTATGCAGGTTAGTCTCACTGAGATCAAATCTCTCTAGAAAATTCTTACAGACATTGTAAAAGAAATGTGACAACATAAATCGTGTTGCAGAGTATTGTGCGTGATATACACTGAGTGTATAACACATTAAGAACACCTTCCTAATATTGAGTTGTTAACCATGGTTACCTGCAAGGAAACACGTGCCGTCATCATTGCTTTGCACAAAAAGGGCAAAGATATTGCTGCTAGTAAGATTGCACCTAAATCAACCATTTATCGGATCATCAAGAACAATTGGCCCAGCGTCGTCCAGGGTAGGGGAGGGAATGGCCGGCAGGGATGTAGCTCAGTTGATAGAGCATGGCGTTTGCAACGCCAGGGTTGTGGGTTCGTTTCCCACGGGGGGGCAGTATAAAAAATATGTATTCACTAACTGTAAGTCGCTCTGGATAAGAGCGTCTGCTAAATGACTAAAATGTAAAATGTAAATGTAAACTTCAAGGAGAGAGGTTGAATTGTTGTGAAGAAGGCTTCAGGGCGCCCAAGAAAGTCCAGCAAGCGCCAGGACCGTCTCCTAAAGTTGATTCAGCTGTGGGATCGGGGCACCACCAGTGCAGAGCTTGCTCAGGACTGGCAGCAGGCAGGTGTGAGTGCATCAGAATACTTTTGGAGGATGGCCTGGTGTCAAGAAGGGCAGCGAGGAAGCCACTTCTCTCCAGGAAAAACATCAGGGACAGACTGATATTCTGCAAAAGGTACAGGGATTGGACTGCTGAGGACTGGGGTAAAGTCATTTTCTCTGATGAATCCCCTTTCCGATTGTTTGGGGCATCTGGAAAAAAGCTTGTCCTGAGTAGACAAGGTGAGCGCTACCATCAGTCCTGTGTCATGGCAACAGTAAAGCATCCTGAGACCATTCATGTGTGGGGTTGCTTCTCAGCCAAGGGAGTGGGCTCACTCACAATTTTGCCTAAGAACACAGCCATGAATAAAGAATGGTACCAACACATCCTCCGAGAGCAACTTCTCCCAACCATCCAAGAACAGTTTGGTGACGAACAATGCCTTTTCCAGCATGATGGAGCACCTTGCCATAAGGCAAAAGTGGTAACTAAGTGGGTCGGGGAACAAAACATCGACATTTTGGGTCCATGGCCAGGAAACTCCCCAGACCTTAATCCCATTGAGAACTTGTGGTCAATCCTCAAGAGGCAGGTGGACAAACCCCACACATTCTGACAAACTCCAAGCATTGATAATGCAAGAATGGGCTGCCATCATTCAGGATGTGGCCCAGAAGTTAATTGACAGCATGCCAGTGCAGATTGCAGAGGTCTTGAAAAAGAAGGGTCAACACTGCAAATATTGACTCTTTGCATAAACTTAATGTAATTGTCAATAAAAGCTTTTGACACTTAATGGAATGCTTGTAATTATACTTCAGTATACCATAGTAACATCTGACAAAAATATCTAAAAACACTGAAGCAGCAAACTTTGTGAAGACCAATACTTGTGTCATTCTCAAAACCTTTGACCACGACTGTACATAATCCATGTCTCAATTGTCTCAAGGCTTAAAAATCATCCTTTAACCTGTCTCCTCCCCTTCATCTACACTGATTGAAGTGAGTTTAACAGGTGACATCAATAAGGGATCATAGCTGTCACCTGGATTCACCTGGTCAGTCTATGTCATTGAAAGGGCAGGTGTTCATAATGTTTTGTACACTCAGTGTATTTGTTACACTTGCTGTATGAAGTCATCTGAGTTTAATTTGGCTACCAGTGAACCAGTTTGGTGTACAAGTTACTATACAGATCATTGTCAGGTCACTTTTAGCTGTCCTGACTTGTCTGGATGCCATTCTGTCTTTTTTTATATCTCTCTGGTTGGCCTTTTGGTTGGCTGGTTGGCTGACTGTGGAGGGGTAGAGAGGAAGGCTATTTCTGTCCTGGCCTCCTCCCTCCACCTCCCACCCCTCATATGATAGCTAGGTCATGTTTTCCGATGAGGCAGAGACTCCAGCCTCCCTGACTCACTAGCTACAGCCAGGCTCTACAGGCTGTGAGTCAGACTGCTATAAACAAACTGCAAAGATTCTCTCATAGATGTGGAAAGAAAAGAGAATACCTCTCTGTGTGTGACTCTGCCAGAGGCTGCCAGGGTTATAATGTAGCACCTGGGGCTTCTGGGAGAATGTCTGCCTGTAATAACTGTGAGTGTTTACTGTGTAGCTGTGCCTGGCTGGGTACGTGCAACCTGAGCAGGTGTTGTTATTACCTGTGCAGGGGACGGAGGCTGGGGAGGAGGCTCCTGTGGACCCTGACGGGGCATGTCTCCTTGCAGTCGCTCCCTTAAACGTGTCACTTCCTGCCGGAGTGCTCCCATTTCCTGTACCCGTGCTTGAGCTCCCGCCTCCAGTTCCACCTTAACATACAAATATAATAATACAACTCTTTTGTTTTGCAAATACTGTGGGTAATAAAATATGTATTACACATCCTAAGGCTTCAAACCTTCTGCTCGATGAGAGCTTTCCCCTGAGCTTCCACCACAGAGATCTTATGGCGCAGGTCATGGTTTATCTTCATCAGACGAGACTGCTGCTGCTGGAGCTAGAGAGAGAGATGGAGGGATGGAGGGAAAGGGAGATGCAGGGAGGGAGATGGATGGGGTGGAGGTAGAGAGTGGTAGAGTGGGAGAGAGAATTAGGGGACAGGCAGAACAGAGAGTGGGTCACAGAGAGAGAACAAGTATAGGACGTAATAGAGAGGGAAACAGAGAAAGAGAGAGAGAAGAGAGTTCATTGATCCATCAAATCAAAACAGACTCCCCACACCCTACAAGGAGTCCATGACCCCTGACCCCTGACCCCCTAGACACCGGCTTAAGGTCAGCTTTTTGTTCTCCCTCCTAACGGCTAAGGTTAGAATTGGGGAAGGGTTAGCTGATCTTAGGCCCGTGCATAGGGAGGGAAAACTTCTACCCCAAGCAAGCACCCATTCTGCCGTCCTTACTGCCTCAACATCCTCATTCTTGAGCGTGAGCTCGCGGTCTTTGGCTCGGATCTCGTCTCTCTGCTTGTCCACTACCTCCTTCAGCTTCTTCATCACCTGACGCTCCCGCTCCGACATACCTGGCAACGCAACAAAGGAAACATGTACAGATCTGGCAACCTGAGATGCAGAGCAGAGAGGGGTAAGTATGGATGAACAATATAAATACCTGGCAGCCAAGACACAGGAGAAAGGAGCCAAGTTAGAACAACATGAATACTCTGTGTGTATTATGTTTACACATGTTGAACTGCATGGGAGAATAAATCAAGTGATTATAAGCACAGCAGCGGAGTTCCTGTCTGTGAGCCCGACTAGGTTTAAAATAGCAAACAGGCACACAAGCACACACACTTGATATCTCTGACACAGATACAGCGTACCCTTAGCTGACACACAGCCCTGAATATAAGCGATGGAGGAAGCGAGACTTTTAAACCTCAGTCAGGACTCACTGAGCAGGTGGAGAGGGGACTGAGGGGACTTTGTGGGGACTTACGTGTGCGTGAAGCATGATTATGTAATGTGTGTGTGTGTGTCTAGCAGGTGTACGGAACACTGAGGGTGGTCTGTCTCTGTGCTCGTCCTCTTGTGTGTGTGTGTGTGTGTGTGTTTGTGTGTGTGCGTCAGGGGGACTGTATCCCCTCTGTGACATCACGACAGAGCCATTCATGCAGTGATGAGCCTGGCTCAGCCTCAAACACAAAGAAGGCCTCCTTTGTGTGTGTGTGTGTGTATGTGTGTGTGTGTGTGTGTGTGTGTGTGTGTGTGTGTGTATGTGTGTGTGTGTGTGTGTTTGTATGTATGTGTGTGTGTGTGAGAGAGAGAGCGACAGAGTGTACACTGAGTGTACGAAACATTAGGAACACCTACTCTTTCCATGACATAGACTGACCAGGTGAATCCAGGTGACAGCTATGATCCCTTATTGATGTCACCTGTTAAACTCACTTCAATCAGTGTTGATGAAGGGGAGGAGATAGGTTAAAGAAGGATTTTTAAGCCTTGAGACAATTGAGACGGATTGTGTATGTGTGCCATTCAGAGGGTGAATGGGCAAGACAAAATATTTAAGTGCCTTTGAATGGGGTATGGTAGTAGGTGTCAGGCGCACCGGTTTGAGTGTGTCAAGAACTGCAACGCTGCTGGGTTTTTCACGCTCAACAGTTTCCCGTGTGTATCATGAATGGTCCACCACCCAAAGGACATCCAGCCAACTTGACACAACAGTGGGAAGTTTTGGAGTCAGCATGGGCCAGCATCCCGTGGAACGCTTTCGACACCTTGTAGAATCCATGCCCCGACAAATTGAGGCTGTTCTGAGGGCAAAAGGGGGTGAAACTGAATATTAGGAAGGTGTTCCTAATGTTTTGTACACTCGGTGTATGTACAGTATGTATGTGTAATCCACATTCTTTCAATATTGTTATTGTGTGTGCACTGTAAACCCCAATGTGCCCCATTACTAAAAACTTTTGAGGAAACCTGTTGCATTTAATATACTGTATATTTGAATATGTGATTTTGTATGTCATTACTCAAACTGATGGAGTCACTGTGACCCTGTAGGGGGTCCAGATTTGAGTTGTATCAGCTTAAAAATGTGGAGTAACGCCTCCACTAAGCCACGCCTCCAATATAATTTCCCAGTGTGTCTTGCCTTTTTGATTGAATTGTAGAGTTACCACCGATGACTGTATTTGTTAGTGACAGAGCCATGGTTTTTCAATTAGTTCATTTTCAGTCCTGTGGCCTTCACCAAGTGAGTTCCTAGGCGAATGTTATCATTATAATTAAACTCTTTATAACAATACATTACATATCTCACAAGGCGTTCTTTTGAGGCCTAGCTTTACCCTAATACAGTGGCCTGAAACTCATGGTTTACAGGCCACATCAGGCCTAGAAAATTCCGGGAACTTTCTTGAAATTCCCAGATTTTCAAAAAATCCCATGAAGGATTTCCAGGAATAATCCAACTGGGATTTCTGGAAAACCTGGAAAATGTACCAGAATTTTGCAACCCTACCTGCAAGTCACATTATGCTGGCTTGCAAAGTGATGTGTAATTCCTATTGGAGTCCAGCTGGAGTTAGGATATCCAACAGTTTAAATGTGTGAGCAGACTACCTAAGCCATTTAAACTGGAACAACCATTTCAGTAACGGGTGCAAAAAACGTAACTAAATTATTGGATTAGTTTAGAAAAATGTACGTTATTTATCTTTGTGTAGCATAAGATTAATCAATCAATCACTCAATGTACATGCAAAAACACAGACATTTTTTAAAAAGTGTATTTGTTATCATAACTTAAATGGAGTTGATATGACTTCTCATTTAGTTTTAAATCAGTACCACATAAACATTTTAAGTAATAATTACTTTCATTGACTTTGAGTTCAACTTACTAGAAGTATTTGAGTTAAAAACGCCTTGCAGTGTGCATGTGTGGGTTTAGAGTCTAGGGTGTAGAGTGAGGGGTTCAGGGTTTAGTACCTTGGTGCCTCTGTAGGTCCTCTTCACTCATGGGATCTTTGATGGACATGTTAGTGAGGAGAGTCTTGTTCTCCTCCTGAAGCTGAGAGATCTGAGACAACAGGTCCTGGGCCTCACCTCTCCATACATCCTCTACCAGCTCCAACTCCTACATATACACACACAGAGTTAACGAACACACACTCCATACATCCTCCAAGCACACGTCTGCTCACAGCCTCACACAAACACATGCTTAAAAGGTGGAGCTTCCACCATCTTGCTTGACCTGGGTGGAGTTTCCTCCATATTGTTTTAACAAATTAAATTATCTCTGGTCAATGGTCTTAAAGGACACAAGGAAAAGAAGCCACTTGGGCTAATATTAGGACTTGGCCACCGACATACCACTGAGCCATGGTTTGTTACAGTTTTAAAGTACAACTTGTGCATTGGTAGGCTATACAAAAGGACTCCGTTTTGTTTTAACCCTGAACTTTTAAAATTGCTTTTTCCTGTCTGTCAATAAATGATTGCATCCTCCTGAGCTTTTAATGATAGTGGGACTTATATATTATAGAAATAGAATGAATAGAACGGGCTTGGAACCTCTAACCCTGGCAATTTGACTGTCAAACTCATGAGTACACTCGCAATGGCTGCCTGGTATTGTGATGTAATCATTTCCATGTTAACGTAGAATGTTAATTCAAATCTCCCGTTAATTCATATCTCCCGAGTGGCACAGTGGTCTAAGGCACTGCATCGCAGTGCTAGCTGTGCCACTAGAGATCCTGGTTCGAATCCAGGCTCTGTCGTAGCCGGCCGTGACCGGGAGACCCATGGGGCGGCGCACAATTGGCCAGGGCCAACCAGGCTGGATATAACCTCACCAGGCAGAGACAGTAAGGGTAGTTCGTCACTCCAGTTCCTTGATGTTCACCTTCACACCCCTGGGCCAGACTACACTCAATCATAGGACCTACTACAAACTTTTCTGTGTTTGACAAAAATAATTCCCTCATTTACAGATTTATTTTAAATCAAGGATTATTTTGGATGGTGGTTGTGTCAAGGTTGTATGGTGGTTGTGGTGTGAACATGTCTTTAGAGAATGTATTTCTGTGACTACATACAGATATACAGTACCAGTCAAAGGTTTGGATACACCTACTCATTCAAGGGTAACCCTGTCTCCTGAGTGGTGCAGTGGTCTAAGGCAGTGCTAGCTGTGCCACTAGAGATCCTGGTTCAAATCCAGGCTCTGTTGTAGCCGGCCGCGACCGGGAGACCCATGGGGCGGCGCACAATTGGCCCAGGGTAGGGGAGGGAATGGCCAGCAGGGATGTAGAGCATGGCGTTTGCAACGGCAGGGTTGTGGGTTCGATTCCCACAGGGGGCCAGTATGAAAAATAAAAATGTATGCACTCACTAACTGTAAGTCGCTCTGGATAAATGATGTTAACTGTTGTGGCTCATGCAATGGAATGTATTTTTTGTAATGTCAGTTCAGTAAGTCACAGCACATATTGATGAGTACACGTCATGCTTTTACTTCCTGCTTTTACTTCCTGCTTTGCTTCTATGGGTACAATTGCAATGGCTGCCAGTCCACTCATTATGCCATTATTGACTTGAATGGGAATGCCTGTTCTATTCTTCTGTTCTATGCTCTGCCTTTCCTGCTTTACTTGTTGTTTGCATATAGCCTACTTTCTGTGGCCTACTTAACGTTCTACTGAACATTTCCAAAACATTTATTTGAATTTTAAGTTTAAACACAATAGCCCTAAGCATTTCCAGGGTCCATAATAATATCGATGGCTCTCGGTGCCTAAGAGAAATGTATGTTGTTGACACACTTTATTTGAGGCATGAGACACATTTCAGTCAACAAATGACAGGACGGTTTAACTCCAACTATGTCAGTGTCACGAGACCAGCAGTGACACTTTTATTTTACTGCACTTACCCTCAGGGCCGTAGCTACATATGAGGACGCTGAGGTCCAGACCTCTGTAATGTTCTAAAAAAATATACAAATATATATATATTTTTGTAACTCAGTCGGAGTCTCAACTTACTGATGAGCGTTAGAATAGTAGAATACACTAGGTGCAATTTCAAAACGTGGTTTTGCATCAGCAGTATTTATCTTGTTTTATGTCACTCACTAGCACCTTACCGATCACTGCACCTGTACACAGCCCATCTGAAATTAACTACCTCATCCCCATTTTGTTATTTATTTTGCTCATTTGCACCCCAGTATCTCTATTTGCACATCTATCATTCCAGTGTTAATACTAATTGTAATTATTTTGCACTATGGCCTATTTATTGCCTTACCTCCATAACTTGCTACATTTGCACACACTGTATATATATTTTATGTTTTATTTTTGACTTTATGTTTTGTTTTACCCCATATGTAACTCTGTGCTGTTGTTTTTATCACACTGCTTTGCTTTATCACTGGTGTCCCCCAGGGCTCCTATTCTCGCTATACACCAAGTCACTTGGCTCTGTCATATCCTCACATGGCCTCTCCTATCATTGCTACGCAGACGATACACAACTAATCTTCTCCTTTCCCCCTTCTGATAACCAGGTGGCGAATCGCATCTCTGCATGTCTGGCAGACATATCAGTGTGGATGACGGATCACCACCTCAAGCTGAACCTCGGCAAGACGGAGCTGCTCTTCCTCCCGGGGAAGGACTGCCCGTTCCATGATCTCGCCATCACGGTTGACAACTCCGTTGTGTCCTCCTCCCAGAGTGCGAAGAGCCTTGGCGTGACCCTGGACAACACCTTGTCGTTCTCCGCTAACATCAAGGCGGTGACCCGATCCTGTAGGTTCATGCTCTACAACATTCAGAGAGTACGACCCTGCCTTACACAGGAAGCGGCACAGGTCCTAATCCAGGCACTTGTCATCTCCCGTCTGGATTACTGCAACTCGCTGTTGGCTGGGCTCCCTGCCTGTGCCATTAAACCCCTACAACTCATCCAGAATGACGCAGCCCGTCTGGTGTTCAACCTTCCCAAGTTCTCTCACGTCACCCCGCTCCTCCGCACACTCCACTGGCTTCCAGTTGAAGCTCGCATCTGTTACAAGACCATGGTGCTTGCCTACGGAGCTGTGAGGGGAACGGCACCTCCGTACCTTCAGGCTCTGATCAGTCCCTACACCCAAACGAGGGCATTGCGTTCATCCACATCTGGCCTGCTGGCCCCCCTACCTCTGCGGAAGCACAGTTCCCGCTCAGCCCAGTCAAAACTGTTCGCTGCTCTGGCACCCCAATGGTGGAACAAGCTCCCTCACGACGCCAGGACAGCGGAGTCACTTACCACCTTCCGGCGACACTTGAAACCCCACCTCTTTAAGGAATACCTGGGATAGGATAAAGTAATCCTTCTACCCCCCCTTACCCCACCCCCCCCAAAAAAAAAAAAAAAAAAAAAAAACATATTGTAAAGTGGTTATCCCACTGGCTATAAGGTGAATGGCCCAATTTGTAAGTCGCTCTGGATAAGAGCGTCTGCTAAATGACGTAAATGTAAATGTAAATGTTGTGACACCATATATTCAGTAACATCATTTTTTCCTGATAGACTACCTTGGCTATTGCCCCAACTCAATAATTCTATAATGTTTCTATATCCAACACATCCTAATTGATTTCTGTGACATAATAGCCCACACATAGCAATACAAGAAGTTAATTGTAACTATGTAGCCTATTCACAATCAAGTGTCATTAATGTCAGATTCCTATTTTTGAGGGGGTATATCAGTGGTTAGATTTTCAATGATAATGATATATAGTATTGGCCAACTATTCAAAATGCCTAGTACACTTTTCAAAGTTATTGTTATAATAATGTCATTGCATTATTTTCATGATGGCAAATTAGTTTTCTTCTCTTTCTGTTTTTTTCTATTTATTCTCTTTCTTTCTTTTCTATTTTTTGTTACCAGTATTGACATATCTTCACCATAATTGATTAGGCTATTATGCCTATCATTAGGCCTACTGTTATCAATTAGGCTATGTTTGGTAACAACTATGCCTATTATTCATCTCAGGACTATTATTTATCTCATCATGTATAAGATAATTGTGACCTTCTTGTGTTTCTTCTCTTTCTCCAGGCGGTCCATCCTCTCCAGCCGTAGTTTATCCAGCTCCAGCCTCAGCTCATCTGTCTCCGGGCTGATGCTGTTCCTACTGACCATCACCTCCACGATCTCCAGCACCCGCACCACTTTGGGCATGAGCCTGGACAGAGCCTCGCAACCATACTGATCAATGATCCGCTCAAACTCCTGGCCCACTACCGCGGCTATATCATACACGTCCATAACCGTTAAATCGGCAACATTCTTTTCCAACGCTGACCCGAACTCCTCCATGGCTGGCTGGGTGGGTGAGTTTGTATTCTGACTGTCCCCCGCTCTGGCCGCTTTCCGCAGTCCCACCCTGCCTACCCGGGCAATTATATTTCCTTCGCCACAATAAACTTCCTCCCCTAGCAAAAACTATTGACTTTTCGTCGTTCGGCTCGTTCTGTGTGTATCTGATCAACTTCAATAAGTCCTTAAATGCGTATCGATTGCGTTTTTCTACTCCTGTCGGACATCTTGTCAGGGATTTTTGATAAATTTGATCAAATCACCCGGCGCCGTTCCATTGTGGTCCTGCCTGTGCTGTCGTTCCTTCCCGATTCTGTGGTCAGATTGCGGTTTGTAATGCGCATGTCAGGAATATCAGTCGCATGAGGTCGCTGCTAGGGTGAACTTGGAAAAAATAATAGAACATGACATCTCAGTCTGAGTGGTGTATTATATCCCACAAATGGCAAAAAAATATTCAGTTGTTGTGACAGATTGAGTACACGTTTTCGATGGTACTTGAAGAGCCTCCAGTTATATTTTAGTAGAAGGCAGCTCTTATCCCTAGCGATTTACAGGAGCAATTAGGGTTTAGTGCCTTGCTCAAGGGCAAATCTGTAGTTTTTCCACCTAGTCGGTTCAGGGACTCGAACCAGCGACTTTTGGTTACTGACACAACACTCTTAGCCACTAGGCTACCTGCCACCCTATGATCAGAATTAATGAGGGGAGAAGGATTAGACATAGGCATCATAATTAATCCCACAATTTTAGAAATCAGATCAGTGTAATGCCTGGATTGTGTTTATTATAGAAAGGATAACATTGACTGTGGAAATCCACCCTGCACTGCAGGAGGAGGAGGAGGAGGAGGAGGGGGAGGAGGAGGAAGAGGAAGAGGAGGAGGGGAGGAGGAGGAGGGGGAAGAGGGGGAGGAGGAGGAGGAGGAGGAGGGAGAAGATGGGGAGGAGGAAGAGGAGGAGAGAGAAACAAACAAAGCAAGGTGCAATGGGAGGGGTTATGACATGGCTGTAGGGATGTGAAACTAAACAGGAGCTTTACATGATGATACAGTGGAACAAACTGTTACCTCATTCAGCTCAAAGCAGCCAGCTCAGCTACAATAAGTCTCAGGTCTGTTTGAGTTTCCTGGCCTCATGACTGATTCACTAGACCTTAAAACAACATACTGGTAAGTGGAAAGACAGAAATACCTGGACACAATAGAATACATGCAATGGGCTTTTCCAGTTTGAATGTTACCATTGAGGGTTAGTTGAGTTTATCTGGCCAAATATCAGTTTGTGAGGATAAAACACAGCACTAAATGTGATATTAGTTCATAACTGAATACTGCACTTGAACTTATGGCTTAAGGCTATATAATGTGTTGAAGTACATTACTTTGTGTACTTAGTGTGTAGATATGATTTGCTCTGTAAACTGGAATAGCAGGAGTGTCGTCATACTGTCATTTTTTTTCTGTACAACATCAGTTGAGATAACATTCCTAGAACTCATCATAGTTTCTAAGATATACACATTGGTGCTGTTCCTGTTGTATCAGAGGAGAATAACCTAAAGTAGTCTGGTGGCATGCCCCTCTCTTCCTGCAGCTGTTCCTAACCCCAGGGCATCTCCAGACTCACTCAAGACTGGTGCAACAGTGTAAAGATGAAGTAATTCAAGAATAAAATGTCATGGTAAGGAAGTAATTATTTGAGATGTGTAGGGCAGAGTATTGTGCTAGTCTGAGTTTGTTTCTGAGGATATTTTTTAAATTCTTCAAATATAGCATTTATTAATATACTGTTGTATGTATGTTGTGCATTTTTCAGAGTTGCAGAAGATGCAGAAAAGTGCAGGTACATTCCCACCATACATGCTGTACCTAACCATGCTGTACCTAACCATGCTGTACCTAACATACTGGAATGAATAACCAGTACAGTACATTCATCACCTCACTGTACACAATCAGCATTCACGATTAGACCCACCTGTTGTACAACACTACATAAACACTGTATTCACTATGTACACATTGCTCAGCGGGCAACTCTGTCTTTCTTGATTCTCCACAGTGGATGTGATTCTGGATCCTGATACGGCTCATCCCTCTCTCCTCCTGTCTGCAGATGGGAAACAAATGACACGGAGAGACCCGAGAAGAGGAGGAGAGCAAAGAAATAATCTTCCAGACTACTCAGGGAGATTTGATCTGAGCGTCAGTGTCCTGTGTTGATCTGAGTGCCAGTGTTACTACGAAGTGATGGAGAAAGGGAAGACTGACTGGACATTAGGAGTGGCGAGAGAGTCCATCAACAGGAAGGGCAGTGTTTTACTAAACCCTGAGAATGGATACTGGGTGATATGGCTGAGAGATGGGAGCACATACAAAGCTCTTGGTGACTCTCCTGTTCCTCTCTCCTTGACCCACAGACCCTCGAGGGTCGGGGTGTATGTAGACTACGAACAAGGGTGGGTGTCATTTTATGACGTGGGAGCTCAATGCCATATCTACTTCTTCATGGGCTACAACTTTGCTGACACACTCTATCCATACTTCAGCCCAGGGGTCAATCACAGTCGCAATAAAGCCCCATTGGTCATCTATGCTTTTTCAAATAGAAAGATAATACACATTCTTAGATTAAAGCGAGTAAAGGCATATAAATGAGCACATTTAGGGGATTATGTTAGTAATTAATAATAATAGTATTATTAACCATTATTTACCCAGGTGATTTTACAGGTATTGTTCAATAAAAATATATATATAGATTAAGAAAAAAATATTATAAACCCATTTAAATACTATAATAAAGAAGAAAAAAAGGGTTGTTCTTCAATCACTGCACAACAGTATGTCACGTTCGTTCATGAACGGGTCAGACCAAGGCGCAGCGTGATATGCATACATGTTTATTTGACTTATAAACACAACGACAAAACAAGAAACGAAACGTGAAGTCCAAGGTACACAAACAACATACCTAACACAGAACAAGATCCCACAACCCACTAGTGCCAATAGGCTGCCTAAGTATGGTCCCCAATCAGAGACAACGAGCGACAGCTGCCTCTGATTGGGAACCACACCGCCCAACATAGATCTAGACATACTAGAAAACCAACATAGAAATACACAACATAGAACATACACACCCTGACTCAACATATACGAGTCCCCTGAGTCAGGGCGTGACACAGTATCTGAGTACAATGCATACACTCTTAGAAAGAAGGGTTCAAAAAGGGTTCTTTGGCTGTCCCAATAGGAGAACACTTTTTGGTTCCAGGTAGAAGCATTTTGGATTCCACGTAGAACCCTCTGTGTAAATGGTTGCTCATTGAACCCAAAACAGTTCTACTTGGAACCAAAAGGGCAGGGACAGAGGCTGGGACAGAGGCTGGGACAGAGCCAGGGACAGAGGCTGGGACAGAGGCTGGGACAGAGGCAGGGACAGAGGCTGGGACAGAGGCAGGGACAGAGGCTGGGACAGAGGCTGGGACAGAGGCTGGGACAGAGGCTGGGACAGAGGCAGGGACAGAGGCTGGGACAGAGGCTGGGACAGAGGTTGGGACAGAGGCTGGGACAGAGGCAGGGACAGAGGCTGGGACAGAGGTTGGGACAGAGGCAGGGACAGAGGTTGGGACAGAGTCAGGGACATAAGCTGGGACAGAGGCTGGGACAGAGACTGGGACAGAGGCTGTGACAGAGGTTGGGACAGAGGCTGTGACAGAGGCAGGGACAGAGGCTGGGACAGAGGCTGGGACAGAGGCTGGGACAGAGGCAGGGACAGAGGCTGGGACAGAGGCAGGGACAGAGGCTGGGACAGAGGCTGGGACAGAGGCAGGGACAGAGGCTGGGACAGAGGCTGGGACAGAGGCTGGGACAGAGGCTGGGACAGAGGCAGGGACAGAGGCTGGGACAGAGGTTGGGACAGAGTCAGGGACATAAGCTGGGACAGAGGCTGGGACAGAGAAATGGGGGGGATATAATTATTATTATTATATATTTTTTTTTATCCAGTCGGGTAAACACTCCAAACAGCCTACCCGACCACTCTGAGACATCCGCATGGTCCTAAAGCACACTTTTTGTATCACATTCCAATGATAAAACTGGGGGGGACAAAAATGAAATTTCAGAATGGCACTTAACCTGGATTCACCTGGTCAGTCTATGTCATGGAAAGAGCAGGTGTCTGCTTGGAGTGTTGAAGTATAAAAGTGTGTGATGTTTAAAGTGAGTGTGTAAGACATGTTTGGAAAGGATACTGTGTGAGAGGAGGAGAGGAGAGGGGAGGAGGGAGGGAGGGAGGGAGAGGAGGAGAGGGGAGGAGGGAGGGAGAGGAGAAGAGGAAGAGGGGGAGGAGAGGAGGGAGAGGCAAGAGGGAGAGGAGGGGAGGAGGGAGAGAAAGAGAGGAGAAGGGAGGAGGGAGAGAGGGGAGGAGGGAGAGGAGGAGGGAGGGAGAGGAGAGGGGTAGAAAGGGAGAGTGAAAAAAGGAGAGAATCAGTCACAACCTGTCTACATCTACAATAATAAAATATCTCTAACCAAGGACAAAATGGAGAGACACAGCACATTACAATGATAGGCAAAACTCAAAGAATAGTTGTTTTCAAAGTGAGGCATGGCATGAGGAAATTATGTAAACATTTAAAAAAACACACACACATTTGAACTTATAGAGTAAAAAAGAAATGCACTACATTGGTAGAACTCCAACGTTTTTCCAGTTCTTGCTGGAACGAGAGTTGAGTTTAAAATTCTTTGAAAAGATATCTGTTCGTCCGACAACACTTTGCACATTATAACCCTACTAATACTGAAAGAAAACACATACATTTACATTTTAGCAGACGCTCTTATCCAGAGCGACTTACAGTTAGTGAGTGCATACATTCTTTTTTTCTTTTTCATACTGGCCCCCGTGGGAATCGAACCCACAACCCTGGTGTTGCAAATGCCATGCTCTACCAACTGAGCTACATCCCTGCCGGCCATTCCCTCCCCTACCCTGGACGACGCTGGGCCAATTGTGCTCCGCCCCATGGGTCTCCCGGTCGCGGCCGGCTACAACAGAGCCTGGATTCAAACCAGGATCTCTAGTGGCACAGCTAGCACTGCGATGCAGTGCCTTAGACCACTGCACCACTCGGGAGACAGCGTTACCCTTGAATGAGTAGGTGTGTCCAAACCTTTGACTGGTACTGTATATCTGTATGTAGTCACAGAAATACATTCTCTAAAGACATGTTCACACCATAACCACCATACAACCTTGACACAACCACCATCCAAAAGAATCCTTGATTTAA